ATTTCTACGGCTAATCTTATTTCTTACAGAACAAATATATAACAAACGAATTTAGTAAGTTTATATGAATGTATATATTGACTTTGCACTCGAACGGACGGTCTTTCGTCGGAGTTTTTCCTGTTTATATGACGAGAAAGAGAAGCAGAATGAGAACTGCACTCCAATAATGATCAGAGAGCGTGTTACATAGTTATAGCAAACAAGCTGAAAAGTCGTTTTGCATTCCACTTTTTTTTTTCTTAGCCTTTTTTTATTTGCGAGCGCATTCCATTCCGTTCTTTGTGTGTCTCAGATGAATTATGGATTGAACGCAACTACGAACGTTCTCTGCACAATATATGATAAGAGTATAGGAAAAAGAGAAAGAAGACGGTCGATGCACACAAGAGAAAGAGAAGAAATTTTTTTTCTATAACAGTAGAAAAGTGGAAACAAAACGGCGACATCGAAGAGAGGAAAAAAAAGAGCGGCACGTCATTTCATCTGCTTCTTTTGCTTGTTTCAGTAGCACACAGCATTGGCCATGGTCATGAACATAGAACAGCAGGCAACTACTGCTCCAACAACCACAACAACCAATTTAGTGGTAAAAAAATAATATTATTTTTGTTACGATGTTTTCATTTTTTTTTGCCAATGCTGTCTTAGATGTCATTGTTTAATTATTTATTTAATGAATATATATCTGTTTTTCTTCATAACTTGATTATATACTAAGTATATTTAATAAGACTTTTTTTTTGCGTTCTAAAGAGTAATAATTTTGTTTTCAAACATATTGAAGTTTTATATTAAGGTCATATATTCGTATGTTAATCTATATAAAGAATCTATAATCCATTTGTTTATCGTTTGGTATTCTATTCTCCTTGGATATATAACTCTCATGTGTTCTTGCTTATATCAGCTTGAATAACACTATTAAAAAAATATTTAATTTTAGAATCATAGGATTCCTTTCAATAGAATAAATATCATTCAAAACTGCTACTAAGAGCATATTTATCCAAGTAAATTATTATGTACTTGAAAATTTCCTTTGTTCTGATAATAACCTTGATTGGAAAAACATGTAAATTCTGTTAGTTTGTTAATTGATTTATTATAAAGTTGACTATGAATCAAAATACTCGCATAGTCAGACATCAGCCATCGAAAACATATATATATATTCTTGTATAAAACTTCTGTTGAATAGATAATGCGTAATATAAATTCTCAAATCATAAAACTAACAAAAAACTTTAGAATATAAGTGAATACAAGTTATTTATATTGCTGGAGGTGATTCTTAGTTTCTCTTTGTAAAACTACCTTGAAAATCAAATCTAACGGCGAGTAATATTATGAAAATAAAAAAAACAAACTTTCTTTTTTTTTTCAATGAATATTTATAATTAACAACGATGATCAATAGAATATTGAGATCATGTAAAGAATTTTAATTTTAATTTCTGATTTAGAATTTATGCTACTATTTTTGGATCGATTTCCTATGAGTTTCTCATTTGTACTAAACAATAAAAAGGAAGCAACTGGGTTTAATCAAATGTCTATAATCGAGTCTGACTGTCATTTCTGGCATTTTTGTTTTTTTTTTATAGAATTAAATCAAGATAAAAAAATAATAGAATTAATAAATAAAATAAGAACAATAACTAGATGTACAAACCCTCAATGATTTATTTTATTTTATTTTAGTTTTTTTTTTGTCCATTAATTAAATGTGATTATCTCCGATATCATCGGATATAATACTTGAAATTCTATAGATTGTCTTCATTTAGAATAGAATGAATAGTTTATAATTAATATCTATTCTACAAACATATATATATATACATATATATATATCATTCGTATGTTTTATTTTTAATTTATACTGTTATTGACAATTGTCAATATCCCGATTGCATTGTTATGGGTAGTATACGAACTATACGAACACACATATATATATACATATATACGCGGCATATTAGTTGATTGATTGATGATAGTCCTTCGTATGAAATGATTGTATATAAATGTGGGGTCGTCCAATTAGGTGTTTGTCTTGCTCTCTTTTTCACGCATAGAAAAACCATTATTGCCCTTTTCCAGATGAGTCAGTTTTTTCTTCTTGGGCGTTTTTTTTTGTGTTGATGATGTTGCTCTATGACATGATCCTCTCTGCATGTGAGTATACCCGTATGCATCGCCTTGTATATCATGTTCTGTTGTTCGCTACATCATCTGCATTATATTTAAAGGATTATTGGCAAGAAAAGAAGTGTATTCGCTTCGTTTTGCTATAGGAAAGGAAAGGACACAAAAAGAGAGAGAATTCGCAAACGAGACATCCTAGTAAATAATACTGACATAGAAAAAAGAGAGAGCAATCGTCGCTCAATACATATACATATGCCAGTCTATTTTTTTCTTTGTCTCTCTTTCTCTATTCGCTTTTACCTTCACTAAGTGTAAAGAAAGAACTAAATTGTCTATACTCAATGAAATGTGCGTACACGACATTGTCGATCATTTTTGCTGCATTTAAAATATCAACGTTGCAGTTTATTCTACTTGTTCGAATAGATGACCCACTCGAAATCAAGCTCATCAACAGTAAGTGACAATAGCTAATTTAATGCACGCATGCATGCATTTGTATATCATCGCATATGTCTCTCAATATAATCATCTTGATGGAATTTGGACTTATTTATTAGGTTTCTCTTTACAATTGAAAGTGTGCCATTGATATAATTGATCCTATCGTGAGGTATAGATGAGAATATTTATATTTCTAAGTAAAATACTCTTTTTTAACCTCCCTGCCTTTCGATTTTTTCCTACATATCTAATTGAATGGAAGAGAAACGATCGTTCGATCAATAGACTTTTTTTCCTGACTATAACCGAATAATAAAGAAAGAGGTTGTAATGAAATTATGTGGGTTATTGCTTGCTAGTCATTATTTCCTCTCTTCATCATCACGCTGTATTGTAGTCTTCATCATCATGCTTCATTTTTTGACTCCCACTTCAATTGTTATTTTAGTAACTGTTCGATGCAACCGGAACATCGTTCCTAAGGTTCTTAACAATAATTCTTTAATCCAACAGGGAAGTTTTAATGCAAAGAAAAAAAAAATAGATAAAAAAAAAAAAAAAGACGAAGAACCAAAACGATGAAGAAAAAATCGTCCTGCTACTAGCCATTGCTTGTGTTGTATCAACGGATGATGACGGATGATTATTAACGATGTTTCAAAGCGTTAAGCAACATCGCTATTCGAATAGTCGAAGAACGGAACGATAGAGAAAAACTATTTGTTTTTCATCCACTGCTTTTCTTTTTTTCATGTCAGATCGTCTCTGATTACGCTTGCCAAGATAATAAAACAACTATTGTCATGTATTTTTCACTAACTAACTAACTGACGAATAATCTTGTCTGGCATACGAATATGTCTTCTATATCAACAAAAGAAAATATTAGAGTATCAATAACCCGTCCATCAACAATCAAACTCTCTTCATTATCTGAAACCAACAACCCATATCATCATCATTATCAAGTGAGAATAAGTGCACATATATATACCTATATATATATATGTGTGTATGTATACTTCGTTGGTTATTAAAATATAAGTATAGATTGAACTCTCGAGATTCTGGACAATTATGAAATAGATGTACATATGGGTGATACGTTACTTGATATAGTTTTCACTTTTATTACATCACACACTCGAGTATACTCACACCTATAATAGAACATTTTGATGACTTCTTTTTTATTATTGTCAATATATGAGTAAAAATGAGTTAACGTGAAAATGAAGTCTTATTATATATATATATATGTGTGTGTATACACATTGATTTGTACAAAAAAAAGAAATTACAAAGCTTTTAAACGCGATCTATTTAATGAGTTCAACAATAGTGTTGTTTTCATGAGCATATCACTAATTCTATTATATGAGAATAGTACGAGAAAAAGACTATAGTCTCATCATTGTCATTTGTTTTCTGTTCGCATACAACGTAGAAAAAATATTTCCCATGACGATGTCCATGCATAGTTGTATGTGCACGCATCACATTTGCATTTTGCATCTCTTAATACTTATATATATATATATATATATATATATATATATATTTGAGTGACGAAATAGAGCGACGAGTCAGTTGAGATTTTCAATGGCTCTTCAAAATAGAAAAAAAAACGCTCTCGATAAAAAAAAAGCAGCAATCTTCGTCATGTACTTATAAATAATTGTTCTTAAATCAAAAAAAAGAAAAAGAATACCAAACAAACATTTTCTTTTCTATATATCAATCTTTTATCTCGAATACCAACAAAAAAAAAAACCTAAAATGATTGATTTTTTTCTCTTGTATTTTTGTCGTTACAACTCATTATCATACAATTGAATATTTAACATTTTGTTTCCTTCATTTTTCGGAGACAGATGTTGCATCCTTCTATCGTCTTTTAGCATCGGCAGCTTTTTTTTTTGCTTTCTATCTTTCTCATTCTGTTAGTCGAGCCAGATGTTACACATGCATTTAGTTCAATTTCTTCTTTATGGTAAAAAAAAAAAAGAAAAAAAAAAACGGAAATGCACGCTTTACTAGCAAGAAAAAAAGTGCGTCCTAACAAAGAAGAGAACGAATGAAGAATACAAAAATAACACGGGCATCAGAAAAAAAATAGTGAAGCGTGTACACTAGTCGCGTCCACACGCCGTTGATTCTTTGTCTGTCTGGTTGGTTAAGGAGCGATGCTGCCACAATTTTTCAGTCTTGCTTTTCTTTTTTTTTTCTCTCTCTCCTTCTTGTTACAGTGATTGTTTGCTTCTAGAGTTGCATATATTAAGACGTACATTTCTCTTCTTTTTATTCATCATATTTTAATCTTTTCTTTTCACTACCTACGAACACGAGAGAAGCGTGCGAAAAAGAAACCCACAAATGTCGATTATTTCATTCCGTACAAAATGACTGTGGTATGTGGAAAATTTTTTTTAATTCATATTTCTAATCCGATAATTTAACATTTTCTTCTTTTTTGTTTTGTTTCTTAATCAGTCAAAAGAACTAAAATACATGTTGATCTCGTTCTTTTTGCTTTATTTTTATGCGAAGGACAATATTTGTTAGTTTTCATTTACAAGTTGTTTTAACCGTCGGTCATATATCCGTTTTTTTTTTTCTTTTCTTATAAATACTTATTACTTTAGCTCTTATATTATAGTCTACTCAATCAATCAATCGGAGATATATGATGAACGAATTTAGATAGACGAGAGAAAGAACATATAAGATAAAGGAAAGGACCCATCATGATGGGTTCAATTAGTAACCATGCTGTTTCTATTGATTGTTTGTTCTGTTTTCTTTTTTCTACTACGACTTTTCTTTATCCTGCTGTGTTAGTTGTATTTTTGGGGAATGTTCCTCTTCTCCTTTGCTTGTTGGCTAGTACTGCAACATACATAAATATACACAATCAAAGAATATATATATATATATATTTTTTGTATATATATATAACGAGAGGAAAAAAAGAAAAAGGAGATACTGGGTGTATCAGCATAAAGGAAAATCGAGAATTATCTTGATTATGCACTAGTTTCTTCTACTGCTTTTCTTTCATCTTTCTCTTCTCTTTCTCTCTCTCTTTCTTTGAGAGTGTCGTGTCATTCACTACTATCTTATAACGACGACACAACGTGGCCTTTAGTAGCCAGTATATCTTGATTTAAAACCGATATTTTCATCCAAGAGAAGATTGCTGTTATGGGTCGACATTTGTCGAATAAAGTTCGATGCACCTTCGTGAGTAATATTAAAATAGAACAAATAATAATAGTAACAAGTTATAGTCTTTTGAGAACTACTATAGTCTACAAATTCGAAAAATCATTTGAGACCTTGTTATGCCGATTAATGATAAATGATTGCCTTCTTTCTTTCCCTTTCTTGTTAAATAATAAATAAGGAAATGGTGTTATTCAGGAGTTTTTTTTCATCGATAATTTCTGATTTGTTTACTCATTTGATATGGCTGGATAAAAGATTTACAGACAGGTCAATAGGGAAGTTACTGATGAATTGGCATGAGAATAAATATGTGTAAGATAAGAATGAATATGTCGGAGATTTTTTTTTTCTTCTTCTTCTTCTTCTTCTTGATCGTCTTTGTAGATCTGTTTTATAGGTTAGGTCAAGAAAAAAACTAATAGAAAAATGAGTGTCAGAGAATGAAGATCAATTACGTCTACCGAGATGTTTGTGCGCGTTGACGTATATAGTAAAAGAAAGTTGATTATTGCATTGATTGTCAGATTGCATAATCAAGTAACAATGTTCTTTTTTCATTGACACAGTCGCTTGTTATAGTACTTATGATATATCAATCTTGATTATAAGTAGAACAAGAATAAATTTGAATATAAAAGACGAAAGAAAAAATATAACAAAACAAAAACGAATTGAAATTTTATTGTTATAATATCATAAATGATGTAATTGGAAAAAAAACTTAAATTAATTTCATTTTCTAGTCTGATGGAAATTCGGGCTTTTTACGAGCAGCGCGAGCAGGAAATCTTGAGAAGGTTTTGGAATACCTTCGTTCATCAATTGATATAAATACTAGTAATGCTGTATGTAAACTTTTTATTCTCTACCTGTTCAAAAGACAAATAAAATTTTGTTGTTTTTCCTTCTTTTTCGTTCAGAATGGATTAAATGCACTACATTTAGCATCAAAGTATGTTGAAGAATTTTTTAATTTTTTTTTCTATTTCAATTTAATCATATTTCATTTCATCAAGGGAGGGTCATGTAAATATTGTTCAAGAACTTCTTTCACGTGGTGCCAATGTCAATGCAGCAACGAAGGTCTTTAATAACTATATCAATAATAATAATTATTTATTAATCATATCTTATTTTGTTTATATAGAAAGGAAATACAGCTCTTCATATTGCATCATTAGCTGGTCAAGAAGAAGTTGTTAAACTTTTAGTTAAACATAATGCTAATATTAATTGTCAATCACAAAATGGATTCTCTCCTTTGTATATGGCTGCACGTATGTTTATATTTAACATAGTGGAATACCAAACAAAAAGAAAATCATATAATCTTTAATTTGTAGAAGAGAATCATATCGAAGTTGTTAAATTCCTGCTCGCTAATGGCGCTAATCAAAGTTTAGCAACTGAGGTAGCCTTTCGTTTTCTTTTGTTGATTTTTTTTTTGTTCAAAGAAGAATTTTGTTTATATTTAGGATGGATTTACACCTTTGGCGGTTAGTCTTCAACAAGGCCATGAGAAAGTTGTTGCTATACTCTTAGAAAATGATTCAAAAGGTTCGAAAGTTCGTTTACCGGCATTACATATAGCAGCAAAAAAAAATGATACAAAGGCAGCCGCCTTATTATTACAAGGCGATAATCAACCAGATCTTAACTACAAGGTTTGTACATTTTTAAAACGAAAAATTATAAAATTTCATTTCTATAAAAAAAACACTTATGAAAATCAATAGGGAGGAGGTTTTGTTAATTGTACAACCAAGGTTTGTTTCTTAAATGTCTAGATGGTGTCTGTTATGTCGTTGATTATTTTCTATTTGATGGTGGTGGAAATTATTGTGTTGTTTTATTTCGTCTTCGTCTTCGTATTTATTTGTTTTTTTTTTCTTTCAGCTTGGCAGAGTAAGCATTTATATATACATATACATATAATTATCACACTACTAATAATATAAATAGTTAGTTACAGAACAAATAAAAAAAAACCACCAACACAGTTATTTTTTTGTGTAATAAAAAAAACCTGTATAGATTAATTTGCATGATTATATTCAAAAAAAAAAATAAAGAAATTAATTAAATTTAAATATGATGATTGTATTTTTTTTCTTCTAGTCTGGTTTTACTCCATTACATATAGCTGCTCATTATGGAAATTTAGAAGTTGCACAATTATTAATTAGTCGTGGTGCCGATGTCAATTATGCAGCAAGTGTAAGAGACTATATAGAATTTTTTTTTTTCGTCTATTTGAGCTAAATATATACTTGAAGAGAAAATGAAATAACACTTGAGACTTGAAGTGTATATATTGAATTATTTTTATTTTTATTTTTTTTTTGGACGATGTTTTTATTGATTCATTCATTTCTATTTGTATTCGTATGAAAAAAGATAAATGAAAATGAAAATTAGGTAATATAGAAATGTATGGATGTGCTTGAGGCTATTTCAGACATTCATCAGAATGTTGCCTATAGGATATAGCTGATCTTAATTTTTAATAAGCTAAATCTATCTGCTAGGAAGGAATGAATAACGGATGATCGAAAAATAATTAGACAATATGTTTATTCAGTTTTTTTGCAGTCTTTTTTTTCAAGAAGCTTGCAGATTGAGTTACAATCAAAATTTTGTGTTTTTTTTTTTGAATATGAGTTCAACATTTTTTTTTTTGTAAGACTTCTGACTGAAGAATTATGAATTGATGTATTACAGGCGTGAAAATTAAGTTTACACAGAGAAAATTGTCTAAATTAACACAGTGTACCTTACTCGAAATACTTACTATTGACAAATGACTTGTAGAAAACTAATTATCAGTATACTATTTTATAGAAGAATGTTTGTTCTTTCATTTGCTTCTACTATGAGAAATTTTTAATGCATTAAAATTTAATTTATCGGCTTCTAAAAGATCATTTTAGAAGTTTCTAAATCAGAATTCTTATAAAAGTTTGAAGCTTGCCTTCGCAAAAAAAAACATAAAATTCTAATTCTATTCTAATATATAGGCTCCTTAAAAAGGCTGAATGATGAATGAATATTTTATCTAATTATTTATCGATTACTCGTTATTATAAAGAAAAGAACAAAGATGATGAATACTGTCTTAATGCTTTTTTCTTTCTTCTAGCAAAATATAACGCCACTTCATGTAGCATCTAAATGGGGCAAAGAAAATATAGTACGACTATTACTTGAAAAAGGTGCACAAATTGATGTTAAAACAAAGGATGGATTAAGTAAGTTGAATGAATGTTTTGAACATAGAAAAGAAAAAAGTTAATGAGGAAACATACCCAACTGTCGGATGTCATTCAACTACATATTGTCGCTATGACTAGGTCTTGATGAGATTAAGCCAAGCATAAAAAGATTTGACTTCAAATTTTGCCTATAGGCACGTTTACTAGTCATCAGATAATTCTGGAAACTTCAACAATAATGAACATGTCTTTATTAAGATATTTAATTGGCAAAAAGAAACAGTGGTTTACGACAGGAACACACAATAATCAAGTCTATTTAAGAATTGAATATCTTGAAAAAGATATGCTCATGTTCGTTAGAACTTTGAAGTCTATCAGACTCTGTGCGTAAGATAGACTCTATTGAAATATGAAAAAATTCAAAAAGATATATCTTTTCAGGCTTTCTGTCGAGAGTTATGCATTTTATGAGATCGTTATTCTCTAGAATTGGTATATACCAACAAATTGAATGACAATATTTCGTCCATAAACGAATCTTTTTGACAGTGGAATGTCCTAAAAATTTCATCGGAAAAGAATATTTTCTTCTCGAGATATAAATGTCCCAAAACTTATTCATATTTTACAAAAGATGTTAGAATTTCTATTCTTTGAAACTTTGATATTTAATAGGAAGGAAATATTCTTTTGAACTGAAATTTTCAGAGCATTTTAATGACAAAGAAACCTATATGTAGACAGAAGATTAGGTCGAAATACTGTCGTTCGTTTTGTTAGTATATGAAATGTTGATAACTCTGACTAGAAGATCTCAAGGGACTTCTTCTTTTGAGACTTTCTGTATCTCACTGAAGTCTACTTTGTATATAGAGTCCCAAGAGAAAGGTGATTCATCAGTTGAAAACGTTTTCTCGTTAGTAAAAGTTTCATTCAAATGGTGTGATAACTCTTTATCAGTCGGCCATCGATCCGAATTCTTTTAAGTTTGTCTTAGTTCCACTGAGGCCTACTCATAGTTATCATATGAAATCGAACGATATCCAACAGTTATGTATATTCTCTTGTGTAAGACAACATGGTATTATTGATTCTTTCCAGCACCTCTTCATTGTGCTGCTCGATCTGGTCACGAGCAAGTTGTTGATTTATTACTTGAAAATGGTGCTCCATTTGGCGCAAAAACAAAAAATGGTCTCTCAGCACTTCATATGGGTAAATAAGTTTAGATAAAAAACAATATTGCTTTTTTATTATATTCATTATTGCTATATTTAGCTGCTCAAGGTGATCATGTTGATGCTGCACGTATTTTACTTTATTATAAATCTTCACTTGTCGATGATGTTAGCTCGGTTAGTTTTATAGATTTATATATATTTAGAATTCAAATCATTTTTTTTTCTTTTTAAAGGATTATCTTTCACCGTTACATGTTGCATCACATTGTGGTAATTATAATGTCGCTAAAGTCCTATGTGAACGTAATGCTGATGTTAATGCCAAAGCATTAAATGGTTTTTCATGTTTACATATCGCATGTAAAAAAAATCGTCTAAAACTTGTTGAACTATTAATATCAAATGGTGCCGATTTAGAAGCTAAAACAGAATCGGGTTTAACTTGTTTACATGTTGCATCATTTGTTGGTAGTCATGATATTGTTGTTTATTTATTACAACATAGTGCAAATATAAATGCAACAACAGTACGTGGTGAAACACCATTACATTTAGCAACACGTAATAATCAAGTTGAAATTGTTCAAACATTACTTCATTATGGTGCATCAGTTGATATGAAAGCTAAAGAAGCACAAACATGTTTACATTTAGCAACACGTTTGGGTAATATTGATATTGTTAATTTATTATTAAAAGCTAATGCTAATGTTGATAATACAACAAAAGATGGATATTCAAGTTTACATATAGCAGCTAAAGAAGGACATGAAGAAATTGCTAGTTTATTAATTGATCATGGAGCTAATTTAAATTTATTTACTAAAGTAAAAAAACAAACTTTTTTTTTTTCATATTTTTTTCTTCATTTTCTATTTCTACTTATTTGTAGAGAAATTTTTCTGCATTACATATTTGTAGTAAATATGGTAATATTAAAGTTGCTAATCTTCTTTTACAAAAAGGAGCTAAACCAGATTGTCAAGGAAAAGTAAGTTATATACATATATTCTTTTATTTAATAATAGTCAATTTATTTTTAGAATGATTTAACACCATTACATTGTGCTGTTCATTATAATCATGGAAATATAGCATTACTTTTATTACAACATGCAGCGAGTCCACATGTAACAGCACGCAATGGTTATACACCATTACATATAGCAGCTAAAAAAAATACTCATGATATTGCTGAAATGTTATTAGAATATAATGCAAATACAAATGCACAATCAACTGGTGGTTTTACACCATTACATTTAAGTTGTCAAGATGGTCATTCGGATATGACTCATCTTTTATTAGCTCATCATGCTAATCCAAATATAGCATCAAAATGTCATTTAACACCATTACATTTATGTGCACAAGAAGATCGAGTTAAATGTGCGGAAGCATTAGTTAATAAAAATGCCAATATTGATGCACAAACACTTGTAAGATGAAAATTTTCAATTAATATAAGAATATTCTTTTTTTTTGCAAAGTGTCTATGAATAAAGATTAGGCTATATGTATATGATAAGTGTATTATGAGAGGTCATGACACTTCGTCTTTTCTCATGAGAGAATTTCTTCAGATGTCTTATTTCGACTGCAATTTTGATTAAGCTATTGAATTTTTCTTTCGAGACCCTAAGTTTTCGGAAAACTCGTATTGTTGAATTTTGATCTAAAACTTTATGCATATAGACAACTCAATTAGAATAGCTCACCTGAAAAAATACAGAAAAAGTCTGTTCGAAAGATGAAGCTCGCAAAAAATGCATGTCGTATGTATTATGCATCGAAAAAGGTCTATATCTTAAACGTTGCATATCTTGGACAGGATTTTTCTGAATTCTTTTCGGAAAGCTACTCTATAATTGAGTTGCTCATATGCGCAAAGTTTTAGATCAAAACTCAAAAAGTATGAGTCTTCCAAAAACTTGGTACCTCGAGAAAAAAATCCGACACGTTAGTCAACTGTCAATATGAATCGAAACCCTTTCAGATATAACCTATAAACTTTGATTGTTAATGCTTATTATCATTAGTATAAGAGTTTACTAAATAATTAGATTGATAGTTTTCTTGAGCGATACATTTCTAAATAACTAATCAACTTATGAGAGAATCTTTCCAATTTAAAAATCTTTTTTGAGTTCGGACTTAGTGTAATAAGGTAAATTTCAATAAAGTATTAAAAACCGTTCAAAAAGTAGACCTTACCTACAAAATTATAGCCATTTTGATTGAATTATTAGCCTATTGTATTGGGTCTAGAAAAATAGTCGAATAACAACATTTTGACCTAAATGTTTTGAAAATTCGAAAATCTTGTTATCTTTGGAAATTCGATAGCTCATAAAGAAAATATTTTTTTGAACTAAAATTTTCAAGACATTCAAGTCAAAATATCGTCATTCGATTATTTTAGTATATTCTGTGCTAGTGGATAAAATTTCAGTCAAACGACTTTTGACTCTGTAGTAAGTCTCGTTTTTTGGAAAGGTTTTTAATATCTCATTGCAACTCACTTTATGCAAAAAACTTTTAACACAATTATCTATACGATTGTAATGATTATTATTATAATTATTTTTTTCTTTTAACTTCTTCTAGAGTGGTTATACAAGTCTACATGTTGCTTGTCATTTTGGTCAAATAAATATGGTTCGATATTTACTTGAACTAGGTGCCAATGTTAACATAGAAACCAATGTAAGAATATAAATATTTCTTTCGGTTTTTTTTTTGAATAATCCTTTTTTATGGTTTATTTTCTTTTTCGTCTTCTTACAGCTTATGTTTACACCACTTCATTCAGCTGCTCAACAAGGTCATGTTATGATTGTTAAATTATTACTTGAAAATGGTGCTTCACCAAACAAAACAAATAAAGTAAAATTGTTAAACATACGTGTTTAATTTTGTTTTAAAACTAAATATATATATTTTTTGTTATAGCATGGAATGACAGCATTATCAATTGCACAACGTCTTGGTTATATATCTGTTGTTGAAGAACTTAAAGTTGTTACTGAAACAACAGTTACTAGTAAACATGAATTATTAAGTGAAGAACGTTATAAAGTAAATTTTAATTGAAACAAAAAAAAGACACAATTTTTTTTAAAATTTCTTTTAGATTCAAGCACCAGAAATTTCTCATGAAGAACAACCATTAACTGATTCTGATGATGAAGGAGGTAAATATATCTATATCTATATCTATATCTATATTTTTAAGAGAAAAAAAAATGATTTAACTAAATAAATATAAAAAATTAAAAACTACAAAATAAACATCATCAAATTGTCTAGATGATGAAAAAAGAATTGCTAATGAAATAATTTATCCTGAAATTGGATATTTCGAAATGGCGAGAGCTATTAACAATTTAAAAAGCAAACAAAGAACGACTACAGGTAGTCGTATACTTTGCAGTTTTGATTTCTTTTTATTGCCTGACAAAAGAATGAAACCAATAAGTATTCCTATGCTTTTATCCTACAGATGCGCTCGCATGAATTATGCTATGACCCCAAAAACGCAATAAAAATTTCTATCATGATTATTTTATTTATATGATAAAAACCAGAGAAATGTTTATATTTAGACATGCTTGGTGATGCTAGTTCAAATGTTCATATGCAATATTTACGTGAAGGTGTTTTAATGACTGAAGCAGAAGAAAATAAACTTAATCAAACATCATTAATTAAAGTAAAGAATATTATTTATTGATTTAATCGAAATGACCCTACCGAATACAGTGGTCTATCCTGAACCAGGATGTCGTATAGGTGATTTTATCGAACAAATTGCGGCACATCGGATAGTATATAAGAAATCAAGTTTTAGAAACTTTTGTATACTGATCCTAATCCTAAGAGTATATGTGATACTGGAATATCATACACAATGTCTATGAGTACTACAAATATTCCAAGGATTATAATCAATATACAAAATTTACACAAAACTTGATTTCCTATTTCCTATTCGGTGCTCTGCAAAACCACATATATAATATCTTGGTTCAACATGATTCATCAAATCTGATTTGAGCTATGATTTATATGTATATATATATATTAATTTATAGGAAGAATCTGAATATCCAATGTTAGCAACAAAAGATGGTTGGAATGAAAGTCGAGATAATTTACATGATCATCAACAAACACCTATTAAAACACAACCAACATATACGGCTGATAATGAAATAATTACAAAACCACGTCATGGAGGGTAAGTTTGAATTTGATTTTTTTCTTCTTGGTTTTCATTTTATTTGATAAGCATGAAAACGTTTGTTGCCATGTGTGTGATGTGTATATATATATCTATTTTCTAGGGATCGTTTTCACTGTCGATCGTAAGTGTTCGCACATGCTTAGTTGATTTTCTGCTAGACTATTAATCATCTTAGATTAACTAATTGATTATATATTTATTTTTTCTTTCTGTTTCGTATTATTTTTCATTTGATATAATATGTTTATTTATGTATAGATTTTTGGTAAGCTTTTTGGTTGATGCTCGTGGTGGTGCAATGCGTGGTTGTCGACATTCAGGTGTACGAGTTATTATACCAGCAAAACGTGCTAGTATGCCAACAAGAATAACATGTCGTTTTGTTAAACGTGATAAATTAACTGTACCACCACCATTAAATGAAGGTGAAGCATTGGCAGCAAGAGTTTTAGAAGTTGGACCTGTTAATTGTAAATTTCTTGGGTAAGATATTTATTTCTGAGAAGAGAAACTCTAAGACACCTTTCGCGTGTCAATTAAAAATTGCAATTGAGATCAATGTATGAGAAGATAGACTGGCATCTAACACTAGCATAACTCGTTTTTGATCATTTCCGCCATTTTGTACTTGAAAAATATGCTTTTTAAGCCACAAATCTTTTTCTCTGCTTTTGATTTCCTAATCGTCGACCTAAGAACTCTCGAAGGAATTTCATTGTGATCAATTGCTTTTTTCGTGTGCTGGAAAGAGCATGCAAAGCTACAGTGCTAGAGTTTTTTTAATTACAATTTTTTATTATTGTATTAAACTGTTTCTATAAATAGAAGACCATTTCTCGAGGTATTGAACTTGTCATTGCGTTTCACAAAGAAGGAAAGAATTTTAAAAAAAGAATTTAATTTATAGAATGAGGTCCGCTGGGCACAAATGAAATATTTTTTACTCTTGTCTATTGAATGTCTCCCATGAACATCATGATCTAGAGCTTTGAGAGAGAGTGAGCATCAGCGAAGATATGATCGATTTGTGTATTAGTTTTTCTTGGGAATCAAACTGACCTCATTTCTGAAATTAAGTGAAATCAGTAATTACCAGTAAAGAAAAAGAAGCTTCAAGATTGTCAAGAATAAACTTATATGTTTGACAACTTCGTTTTGAAAGATGTAATGAAATATGATTTTTTTTTTTGCATTTGCAATATCAAGAACATTGAAAGAAAGTTGCATTATTATTCATAAGTATCAGACTGCTATCAAGTTATGTACAATTAGAAGAAAACGAGACTTATAGAACGATGTAGATGATAGATGTATATAGTAGAGTCTTTTACCATTTTCGAGCTGATTGAAAGGATTATATGAGCTTCGGCTCAGACCAGAAGTTATACAGGGTTACAATCCAAGCTCAAATTCTTTTCATTAACTTTTCTATCAACTTGAAATCTTATAAAGAGTTAGTACACTGAGTAAGGCAAAGCACTGCTTGGTAGAGTTCGACTGATTGATTTTTTATAAAGACTAATGAGGAGACTTTGGATCCGGTTCGAAATTCTGATCTTCGGATTGAAACATTTGATAAAAGGTTGAATGTAGTTGAAAACAAGAAAACCAAAGAAATATTTATATATAAATCTCTTTTTGTTTTGTAATTAATTAATTAAATTTTAATAATCTCCTTTTAGACCTGTTATTCTTGAAATTCCTCATTTTGCTTCATTACGTAATCATGAACGAGAAATCATTGTTTTACGAAGTGACAATGGTGAAAAATGGACAGAACATACAAGTCCAACCACAGATGAAGCCGTACGTGATGTACTCGGTGATACGGTTGATTCTGAAGGTAAAAACAAAAAATTTCTAATATAAAAATTTTTCTTATTATAAAAATTGTTTCTTTTTTTTAATTAGAACTTGAAAATCTCGAAGAACTTCATTCACGTCGAATAACACGTATAATAACAAATGATTTTCCACGTTTTTTTGCTTTAATAACACGTTTACGTCAAGAAGCACATTTTATTGATGAACAAGGTGGTTTATTAACATCAACAATAATACCTAAAGTTCAAGCTCTTATACCTGAAAAAGCATTACAAAAACGTATTCGTATATCACTTCATGTTTTACCAATATCATCTCAACTTCTTCAACGTTCATATGGTACACGTGTTAATGTAAGTCCTATTGTAACAGTTGAACCACGTCGAAGAAAATTTCATAAACCAATAACATTAACAATACCATTACCAGCAAAATCTTTATCAACAACAAAACAAGGTCATCAACGAGAATCTCAACAACATGGAAATGCATATACAAGTGATTCTCAAACACTTCGTTTATTATGTAGTATTACTGGTGGTACACATCCAGCACAATTTGATGATATTACAGGACATACACCATTGACATTTTCAAATGATTGTGCTACATTTACAACAACTGTTTCAGCTAGGTAAATATCGTTGTTCAATTTTGTAGAGATGTTTTTTTTTTCTTGAGAAGATTTATGAGATATACTATTCATATGTATTGATCTTTCGATTCTGATTAGACATGAAGAAGATTCAGTTGTTTTTGGTTCCGATGGAATCGAGACTAGAAACATCTTGTCCGTATCAGTTTAGAACGCATGAGTCACAACAATATAATATTCGATGCCAGTTTGATACATATATAAAAGGTATTGTTCCTAATGAAAAAAATGTTGGTCCTGATTCCAGAACTATCTTACCCACACCCTCTAATTCTAATGTTGATTGCATTGACTGAAAATATGAAATCTTACTTCGATTGAATTAATTATGAATAAACAATCGAAATATATTTTCCAGGCTTTTCAACTTTATTAATTTCTTTTTGTTGAGAATACTTTTGAACTGATTACTATATTTCTTAACTAATAATAATCTTAACCATATGGTTCATACAGCAAATATGTTTACCTTTAATCACGAAAGCAAAATCTACCAGACTTCCCCAGGAGCGAAGCAAATTTTTCCAACTGATACAAGTATGAGATAAATCATCATCCGTTTATAGACAATATATCAAGACTTCAAGCATTGTTTTATCCAGATTTCCTCTTCTGGATGGACTAGCTTAACCTTTGGAGGAGCGCCAAACCCTGAGTCTTCACGCTGAATAAACCACTGAATTGAAGATTGACAAGTTTTTTTTTCGCCGAACAGTTGATTTTTTCTGGAAGCGCTACTCTAATATAGGATCAGATTCTACATTCTTGCTTCTAACAATTGAGATAGAGTTGAATGATTTGTTTTTACTAATTCTGCTTACTCTTTGAGTAATTATATGGAACTTTTCAATTCATGCTCTTTATTTGAATGATTACATATGATTGAAAAATCAGATGTGTAACAGCTTCATATCGGCTGATTGATCACTAGAACTATCGAAATACCTATTGAACTGTTCGAAAAACTAATCGATCCCATTGATCAATTTCTTTTATAAAATTACGAGCTATCACACATGTATTGAAAACCATATCTTATGTTTTTTTTCAAAGATTCTGGTTAATCGATGGTCAAGGTGTGCCAGATGTATTAAAATTAGCTCATGAAATATATCGTGAAGCAACATCAGTACCATATATGTCACGTTTTGTTGTATTTGCTAAACGAAATGATCCAAATGAATCACTTGTTCGTGTATTTTGTATAACTGATGATAAAGAAAATAAAACACTTGAAATGCAAGAACATTTTATTGAAATAGCTAAATCAAAAGAAGTTGAAGTTATTAATGGAAATACAATTTATTTGGATTTACAATCAAATAATTTACAAACAATTGTTAAAACAAATGAACAATTAACATTTACATTTCGAGCATTTCGAGAAAATCGTTTACCATGTATTGTTCGTATACGTGATCAACAACAAGAACCAACAGGACGTTTAATATTTTCAAAAGATAATGGTAAATTAACAACTTTACCACGAACAGCATCAAGTACAATGACAAATGGACATGTACCATCAAATACAATGATTGATCCACAATTATTACAACCTATATGTAATTTAAATATTGTTTTACCATCATATGATAGAGTAAGAAATATATTTTGTTTACTTTGCTTTTTCTAATAATAAAACTATTTTATTTATCTTTATTTTTAATTAGGATTTAATTGAGGTAAGATGATGGTTATTGAAATTTGTTTTTTTTTTGTTATTTGTTTTAATTTTATTTAGAATGAAGAACGCATGCGAGCTCTTCATTCAGCTGAGCGAGATTCTCGTTTAGAAAGTAAGAATTCAAAAAAAATTATATTTGAACAACAAAAAAAAAATAAAATTATTTTTCTTTAGGTTGGAGATCTGATGATATGTATCGAAAAGGTGAAATTCGTTTAACGGATATAGCACGATTATTAGGCAGCGACTGGCCAGCACTTGCTGCTGAACTTGAATTAACTGAAGAAGAAGTTACTAAATTAATGGATGAATATGGAGAAAATGCTGCTTTACATATGTTACGATATTGGCTTAAATCACGTGGACCTGACGCAACAGGTGAACACGTTTTTTTCATGTATATCTTAGACATGACCAGAATCAGTCGTTTTCAGTCCCGGTTCTGGCTTTGGTCAGAATAAGCTTTGGCGTCGGCTCTGATAAAAAAAAGGCCATAGTCCCAATTCAAGTCTATAAATAAATGAGGCTTTGATCAAAAACAAAATTGGTATCGATTTCCTTAGCTTTCAACGATATTGTATGTAGATAGATGATCATTTTTCATAAATACGAGTATTGAAGTCTCTGATAGATGAAGGACTAAGATGGTTATTTGTCTTTGGAAAATAATTCTTTTGATAAGAGATTGTTACTAAATTTTTTTGCTTTTTTTTATCGATTATTTGAACAGAAAATTTTTATTGAAGTTCTTTATTTTTGTTTTTAGGTAACTGTCTTCAGCAAGCCTTACGTAAAATTGGCAAAGAAAATATTGTTCATAATTGTGTATTTAATATTGAATGGGTTACGGATGCAGCAGAAAAAGAAGTAGCCAAAGCACGTTTAACTAGTCGTGGTGGAAGTATAGATGGAACAACAACTGGTGGACGTCGTGTATGTTTTACTGTTTTTTTGTTCTATTATTTCCTTCAAAATCTTTTTTTTTTGTATTATTATTATATAGTTAGATGAAGGTTTTGAAAGTGATGATGAATATGAACGTCGTCGTCATGGAAGATCTAGTAAGTAGTTAAAAACAAAAAAACAAAAAAAAAACCTGATAATATTTCCCTCGAAAAAATCATATCGATAAAAAAAACTATTTTCTTTTAATATTTAAACTAAAGATATCATAATTAATGATACAATTCGACCACGTACAATAATAAAAACTATAACATTTGAAGAATCAATTGAAGATGAATTAGGAGAAAAGAAACAAGAAAAAATTTCATCTCAACAAATTCTAAATCCACAATTTAAACAATTAGAACCACTTAAAATGATTAAACGAGATTTATCTAAAGATTTTCTTCCATCATCATCATCAACCTCAAGTGCTGATACAATAATAAATACAAAAATTCATGAAAAACGATTAGGTTTATAAAATAGATATTGTCAAGCTTTTGTCTTGTAGAAAGAAAACCTCCTCATTGTTGTTCTTATTATTGTTATTGTTATGTCAATGTTGTTTTGTATATATATTTAAAGGCGAACGTGATGGTCCTTTACACTATGTTGATTCAAGTAAAGTCCCAACACCAGCGTCACGTTATGGTGGTTATTATTCAATATATCATCCACAGAATTATTCAGGTTCAATAACACCATTAAGTTGTTATTCACATCCATTTGAAATGATACATATTGAAAGTTTAAGAGAAAAATTAAATAGACTAACACGTGATAAAGGTTTTACTTTGTGTTTTGATGTGTTATTTTTCTATTTTAAGCATGAGATATGTGTTTTTGCAGTGATCAGTTCTTTTTTTATTAAGTTATTATGAAACTATATGAATTTTTTTTTGTTTAGTTGATCATGATGATTCATTAGGAAAACAACGAAGTATAGATCTTAGTGAAGGACGCAAAACACCAACGGGTAAGAATATAATTATCATTATTGAATCAGTCAGAAGTCTTCTATTTATATGTTCATAGTATTAGTTAGCTCAGCAGTTTATCTCATGGGAGATAAAAGAAAGAAAAAAAAAAGGCTATGTTTATAAATGAAAAAATTTGGTTATAAGAATAAAAAATAAGAAGAAGAAGACGAAGACGAAGACTTTTCTTCTTGCTTTTCTGAATCAATGAATATTCAATAAGAAAAGAAAAAAAAACAAAATTTCAGCATAGATTATCTTATATATATATATAATAATAGAGTTGTGGTCTATTTGAATACAAAGTAAAACTAATAATGGTAGTATACTGATGCTTATATAGTTTATTTTGATATGAGTTCTTTTCTATTATTATTCGTTCCATATGTTTATTGTGAACGAAAATTTTGTTATTACCTTCTAAAAGAAAAAAAAAAGAAAAAGTAGTATCGCTATTCATATGATGACGTTTGATAAAGATGAGAATTATAAGACTACGGTTATTATCGTAGAAAGGAAGAAAATTTTTTTTTTCGGTTAATAAGATTTATTCAGTAAGGAAATCAATAATGATAATAAAACTATTGTTAAGTGTATTTTTTTTTTATAAATCTCTATCATTATTTAATGATGTATTTTGAAAGAATTTGATCTATTTATGTCTAACGTTCTATGACACGTACACAGATTTATTTTTCTTATGAGAGAACGTTTTCAACTACTCAATTCTTTTCTTACTAAGAACTAACGAGTTGTGGGTTATCGACGACGCTGATTCTGAATAGGACGATAAGAAATTTCCTTAGGTTTTTATATAACTGGTTTTATAGAAAAAAAGTTTTCTGAATCGACAAACATTTTCCCAATATAGCTTTTGATCTATTCAGGTTATAGAGTAGAGCCGGTCGAGTCCGGAACTAATCCAACGGGCTTAATTATAGAGTGTAGTGAGTTGTCTACAAGACAATAATCTTTTCTGTTGTCCAAAAATGACTTTGTCTGTAAAAGAAAAAGACCTTAAATTGAGAAAGTTATTGTTATCTAAGCAATTCGATATGTTCTGTAACTTGGATAAATTAAAAGGAATTTTTGATCAGTTTGCAAAAGTAGCATATGAAGACCTAAGAGAGATATCTCATAATCATATTCCAAATCAGCATAATCGATAAACTTAAATCTACGAGCTTTCGATGAGAAACTGATTGATCAATTGATAATATTCCCTTGTTAGCAGATGCGTTGCATAAAATGAGTTAGATATTTTTCTCAGATCTCTCTTTGTTCAAATACTTTGAACCAGTTTTATGTTAGTTAATAATTTTGTAAACTTCACATTATATTTTCCAAAGAAATATATAGTGAGTAAAAGTTTTAAGTTGAGATTTTGTTACTCCGTTTTCATAGTAACGAGAGTAAGGTCAACAGTCATTGAGTACGTTTCCATAAAAGTCGAGTTGAATAGTAGTCGTCCGACTCTTTGCACAATGTTCATTACGAACGAAAGAAATACCATTGACAACAAGACTTAAACTGTTGTAGAATATTTTAAATGACTGAAAAACGTTTGTCAGTGCGATTTTCTATTTTTGCGCAGATAAAAACCTCTATTCAACATGTCAAGGATGATGAATTGTTATGTATTGATAGGTCTCAGTCGACATACGATCAATATAAAAAGCACAAATTAATCAAATTATATATCAATATCGTTGTTTGTATACGTATCGAGATAACTAATAATGTGTTGAGATCTATTGTCGATATCATAGATAAGTATAATAGGTTTATTTGCCGAGTAAAATCAATTTTAAATTAAAAAACGAAAATGAAATTCGACGAATAAATAGAAAAACGAATAAAAAATAGCGTGTCAGCAAACAATAAGACAAAGTGTTTCTTTGACGATTGATTATTCTTTGAAAATAACTACAATCTTCTATAGATTTTTCACTTGACGTATGTTGTATTAGTTTAATAAGACTTAAGAACACATGTGAGTTCCATATTTTAATCTCAAAAGAATTGCGCTGACAAGTTTCTTTTTTTTTCTATATTAATTTTAAGAAATATTAATCAATTGTTTATTCTTTTTTTTTTCAAGAATATCCAACAAGAAAACACTTACCAAAACGAGATGATTTTGGTATTGTTCATATAGCCAAAGAAGCAACTCCAATAGAATTCGATTATGAAATACCATCAACTAAAACCTTATCTGCTATGGATACAGTTGTTCAAGAAACACCTGTTTCTTCAATAAAACTTGATGCTAAGAAATTAGATGAAGACGTACCACAAAAACAACAACAACAACAAGAATCTACTATTATAACGACTGAACAACCAACTCAAATCCTTGATGATACTTGTAAGTAAAATTAAAAAAATCATTTTGTTCTCGCTCTTTTTTTTTCATCCCTTTAAATAATTCTTTAATTAAAAAAACCTAAAATTTTCTTCCAGCACCTACGCGTACTAATTTACCATCTCAAACAGTAACACCTGTAGGTGAACGTTTAATAAAATCAAAAATCATACCCGAACAAGCACGTGCACTAGCACATGCACTTAAACATGCTGTTGTTAAACCATTAAAAAAAACAATAGCTACAAAAAAAATGAAATCTTTTGAAATGAATACAAATGAACCACAAATAACACATTCATTATCAACACCATCATCAATGATTATTGAAAATTCCGATAATATTGTAAATGAAACATATGTTGATTCACTTGAATCAATAAGTCCTTTAGCATTAACACCACCACCAGCTAAACCACCACGTCATAATGATGAATCTGGTTCATCATCATCTATAGATATAAGTTCACCACCAACAAAACCACCTAGACATTTTTCTTTATCGAGTACTAATAATAATGATGATGATGGTCTAATACAACAAACAGATAATGTTGTTAAAAAAGTTTTAAATCTTGTTGATACATTTGGTATCATATCAGATAATGATCATGATATGAATATTTTACGACAAACATCACCGTCAGAAACCTATGTACAACAACAACAACCATCAACTATTGATGAATTTGAAAATGAAAATTTAAATAATTTTCATACAATTAATACATTTACTGTTGATCCAGCAAGAATAATTTTAAAAACTGATTCATCATTAATAACAAAATCATTTGATGAACCTTCAGCAACACATTCATCATATCCAATTGTATCGTCATCAAATGATTTTTCATTTTCTTCGAATGATAATAAAACTCCTATTGAAATAACACAATTAGCAAACAATTTAACAGAAAATATTTTTGAAGAAATTGAAAAAGAATTTGAAAGACAAGAGCAATTAAAAAATCTTAATACAAATATAAATAATGATCGACAAAATTTAATTGATAAATTATCTACACAATCATCAAAATCAACAAATAATACATTTCGTGATAATGCACCATTATTACCTCAATCAATAGCAACAACACATCCAGCATCAATTCAATCGACGACCCGTCCTCTAATGTTTGTTTCACTTGAGCCAAGTTTTAATATAACAAAAACATTTTCACCATTAATTGATATTGTTACAACAAAACCGACACCAAAAATAACAACATCCGTTACAGTCATAAGTCCACCACAACCAGAAATTTCATCAACAATAACAACAAATATAAATTCTGATGATGAAGAACAATTAAATAGTTCTTCCACATTAATGCCAAATAGTAGTATAGCTTCCGATCGTTCGAAATTTTTGCAAACTAGTAGTAAAGAAAGTAGTATTGATTCAAATGATACAAATCTATCAGATAATGCTATATCACAACAATTAAATACAGGTAGTGCAACACCGGCACGTTCACTGCTATCGGATTATGATAATTTACATGGTTCATACGGAAGTTTAAATGATGACACTCAACAGCCGATATCTCTGCCTCCAATTTCCGCAATATCATCTGAAGCAATATCATCTATGCCGACAATTACTAATCCAACTGCAACAACATCAATGTCAACGATTAATGAAAGTTTCGAAAGTATACCATCATCTACTGGAACATATGCAACCGCTATGAGTACATTGACAAATGATACTACAAGTGATTCAACAACACTAACTCAACATATAAATTCCTATATAAGTGATGAAGATCTTGTTGAATCATATGAAGTTGAAACACCAACCCTCCCATCTAGCAATCCATTTCGTTTTATTAAAGGTAGAATCGCATCGTATTATATACAAATAAACAAGCACGAACATATTTATTCATTTTTTCTGGCATGTCTTGATGTCCCTAGGTTTTTTGCCTTGTTCGAATTGGCATGATTATTTCAATGCTTATTTTATAATTATTTATTTATTTTTATTTCATAAAAATAATAATAATAATCATCATAACAAATAATTTCTCTATATTTTTCTCTATATATAATATAGCATCGCCGCCTATAATCGAAGTTGTCGAAGACAATAGTGAACCTGCTGATGAAGACGATATGTCATTTTTAAATGATATTCTTGAACAATACAATCATAATTTTCATTTACAAGGTTTGCGTACACGCATGTTCATAATAAAAATGATGTGTGCGCATGAAGAAAAAAAATTATATTATTTTTCGTTTTATAAGAATTTTTTTCATTATCGAAATTATTTGTTCATTTAATATATATTTCATTTATTGTTATTTTATTCTTGTTTAGACACTCCTGCAAGACATATTAGTGATACGGAACAAATATCAACTGATGTGAATAAAGAAAGTAAGAAAATAATATAGAGCTTAATAATTTTTTTCTAAAATACGAATTTTAATATTACTGCTGCTCATTTAATTAATGTTACTCGTTAATATGCATGTTATAGATTAGAATATGCTGAAATTTAATCATTAAAGTTATAAGATCTAAATTAATTAATTTTTCTAGTTCAACATTAGTCGAGAGATCAATAATGTAAGCAATAAGAAAAAGCATGGATTTTTGAGAATGGGTTTATTATTATTATTTTATAATAAGCATGTAGCTAAATTTAAAAAAAATGCCTTTTTTCCATAAAGCGAACATAAACGCATGATTTTCAAAAATTTTTTTTTCTTCTCACTGACCTATACGTGTACACTTATATTGCATTATGTTTGAATGTATATATCTATATATATATATACATATGTGAATGAACATACTCTATAAAGGATATGTGCAAGTGTGATACGGTTTTTAAAAAAACTGCTGTTGTTCTTTTTCCTTTTTTTTGCATGTTCTACTAAGCCTTTTCTTTTTATCTTAGTATATGTTGTTTGTTATTACCTCTGTCATCACTTCTTTTCTTATTGTTGTCTTGAAGTACACATTGATTGAGAGACTTTTTAGTCTTCGTCTTTTCTGATCGTTCAATAACAGCAAATTGATTGCTTGGTAAATAATAGATAGGAAAAGAAACTTACACACCCACACCCACAAACGATAATCAATAAAAAGAATGTTTGACTTATTGACTTTCATTATTGTTTTTTTTTTATTTCTGGTGTATATATTCTTTCTTCACTTATTCGTATCTTTGCATGATAGTGAAATAATTATACTGTTTCTCGTTTTACAACAGAGCAAAACCGTATCACATCCACACATATTATCCATTACAGAGAAAATCGCTTATTATTTTTTTCTATATATATATAAATATATATTTACTATGAGAATTATCTTTCAAAAATAAGTTAAATGCCATATTATATTCGTGAGATTTTTTTTTCTATTACATTTCTTTTTTTTTTGTTCTCATTCTTTTCAAACTATGTCATCAAAGAGAATAAGCAGCAGAATCAAATGGAACGAAGTGATTGCTAAGTTATTACAACTCTCGTTTTTTTCCTTGTTTTCTATTGTTTGTAGTTACTATTGCTGGCAAAGGAGAAGAGCCATCACCACCATCATCATCAAAAACATCATCATTATTATTCTCTTCTACTTCTCCTTCTACTAATTTTCCTTTTTTTTCTTCTTCTCGTATGACTACTATAACAGAATCTAATATTTCACCACCAATGACAAGTCAATCATCAACATTACCATATCGACAATCAAATGATATTCCATTAAGAGAATCAATTATTCATGAAGATAAAACAATATTAGATGAACAACATGATAAAAATGTTACTAATATTAATCTTCAATCACCAACACATCAACGTCGTTTACCATTACCGAATAAATTAACATTTGAACAAAATATAACAAATCTTATTGAAAATGAATCACCTTTATTACAATCAGAATTATTAACAGCTGAACATGAATTATCTGTATTACGTTCACGTTTAGCTGTTAATGAAGGTGTTACAGCTGTAACAGGTACAATACTTAAATCACTTAAAGGACAATTTGAACCACATCATAAAGTTGATACAGCAACATCACCATTTGATATATCAAAACTTAATTTATTTCAACATTCATTAGCTATACAAACATCACCAATGATTGAAACATTACCTGATATACCAGAATCTGTTGAAATACATTATGATGCACAAACAGTTAAAAGTCCATATTTACTTGTTAAAGCAAAAAATTCATTTTGGATAGCACAACCCATACCTGTTGCTGAAGCACAATCACATTTAAAAAAATTTTCATCACCTGTTATGAAACGTGCTACTGTGAAATTACCAAGAACATTTGATCAAACATTTTTAACTGATAGTGATACGGATGATGAACAAATTATAACAAGTCAATCAATGGAAGATAAACAATTAAATAAACCTATAAATATTGATAATGATATTTCAAATGAAGTACCATCATCAACGATTATTGAAGAATCAAGTAGTCCATCGAATGAAAATTTATTATCGTCAACAGATAAATTTTCATCGGTTCTTACAGAAAATAAACTTGAAAATGAAATTCCGATGGAAGATAAACAACCAACATCTGATGTAAAAGAACCAATATTGGAAATTAAAAAAATACGTTCATCCTCACTTCTACGAGTTGAAGAACAATTTGAACAATTCGATGATAAAATTGATGAAATTTATTCCATTATTGATTATTTAAAAAATACAAAATTAACATCAACAAATTTTAATACTATACATACAAAAATAAATGATTTAAAAACAATCATATCTGATATAAATTTAAATAAACAAGATGAATTACGTATTGAATATGAATTAGATGAATTACAAAATTTATTTCATACAATAAATGATAACTTAATAAATCAATTACATCAACAAGAAGATTATAGTTTAATTGATTTATTTGAACAAAATGTTAATGAATTACGTCGTATTATAAATGATATTAAATCGAAACAAACAAATTTAACAACAACTAAAATAAATGAATCCGAAATAAAATCAGATGAAAATTTACAAGAAAATCTATCCAAACAAATGATTCCCCATGATGCAGATTGGTCACCTGAACAAATGGCTGAATATTTTCAACGTGGACCTGATGGTGAATTATTATTATCGAAACAAGCACATTCACATCTTATACCTGAAAGTCCTGTTATAACACGTGATGTCTTTTTTGAAGGTGATAAATCAATTCAAGAAAAACGATCTTCTCATCCACATGTAACACATCTAATACCTGAAGATGCACGTGTGAGTGCTGATAGTTTTTATGAAGGTGATGTACATCGTTCATTATATCATAAAGAAAAAGCCAAAGAAACGATGGTTCATGACAAACATCTTATACCAGAAAGTCCACGCGTTTCAAGTGATGTTTTTTATGAAGGTGACTCACAACGTTCAATGTTTGTTGAACGTTCATCATTACCACAAATGGAATCCATACAACCATCATCAATTGATAATCTTCGAAGTATAATGAGTGATTTAATGCTTGCTGCTTCATGGTCAAAAAAATCATATAAAATTGATGAACAACAAATAAAACATAATGATGAAGAAATTCTTGCTGAATCATTTATAACAACAGAACAACATTATCCACCATCAAAATTATATGAAATTGTACATGAAATTGAAAATTTTCCATTAACATTACCAACACAAAAACTTGATGAATCAACAATTGAAGTTGAAGAACTTGATACAAGATCACCATTTACTTCTCAATCACCTATTTTTATACATCGAACTATTTTAACACGACAAGATACTGAACGATGGCCACAAGATGAAACAATTATTATTGATGAACAAGCACAGGAAGATATATTAAAAACGACTGAGCTTGAAAAAATTACAGAAGATATTCGACAACATGCTGAAAATTCTTTAAATTTATTGAAACAAAAAGAAGAAGTCTATGAAAAACGATATCAATTACCACAAATCATAGATCAGCAAATTATTATCGATGATAACCTTTATGATAAATCTAAAAAACATATAGAAGAACGAAAAGATAATATTTTTATTGAAACACCACAGGAAGAAATTGAAGAAAGAGATGAAAATGACCAATATCATATTGAAAAAACATGGAGTACAGATAAAATCATAGAACCTTCATCCATTATTCCAACAGATGAGGATGTACAAGCTTTACATAAACCCCTAGATGAATACCAACAGGAACAACAACAAAAGAGTGAACTTCGCACATCAGCACAAGCAGATCAATATGAATATCAACTAGAATCAAAACTAGCCTCGGAACAACTGCCTACGGATTTAACACGACTGATTGAAAATGAAGAACAACTATCAAGTCCAATACATACGCCCATTGAAGAAAAACACGAACTTCAACGACGATTAAGCTCCGAGAAGCACAGTATTGAATCTCCTCATCTTAGTGAACAAGAAGAAGAGCAATATGAACCAAAATATGAGACATTTGAACAAGATCGTCATGAACCATTGCTCACTTTTCAACAACACTTCATCGAACATCCTGAACTAGATATTCAACAAAAAGATGAACAAGCAGATTATTATGAAAATGAAAAAATACTAACCACCGATACAACCATAATCAAACCATTGGAAACAGCCGAAAAACAAGAAAAGCGCCATGATGAAGAAACAGTGAAATTAGAAAGAGAAGCCGGTGAAATCTATGAAGCAGAAGAATTCGAAACTCAACAAAAACGAACTAGTCCAGAGATTCACAGAGAATCATCTCATGAAAGTGGTCATGAAGAAGAAGAAGAAACAGAACAATATCAACCTCAGCGAAAACTTAGTGATGATAAAATCGTTCTTGAATCTTCTCCAGTGATCGAAGAACCTCAACATGAACCAAGTTCAACATTTGCAGCAATCCCTACTACATTTCAGCAAGAAATCCACGAAAAATATGAACCAAGAGAAGACTATCATATTAAACAGAAGTTAACTACCGAACAAATCATTGCCGAATCTCCAGAACTTAGTGAACATGAACACGAAGAAGATCAATATGAACCAGAATCCATAACAAGTTCAGAGAAGATACAAATTGAGCCTAGTGAAACAATAGAAGTAGATCATCATGAAGCATTACTTAGCTCTGGTCGAGAATTCGTCGAATTTCCTGAATTACGCACTTCATATACTGATGAACATGTTGTTGAATATCGAGAAACAGTAAAAGAAGAAGAAAAAACACCTCATGATGAAGAATTGTTGGAAACACAAAAACCAGTCAGTGAAATCCATGAAATCCATGATTATGAAATCGAACAAAAACCAACTCGTGCGGATATTCACATCGAATCACCTCATGAAAGTGATCATGAAGAAGAGGAGGAAGAAGAACAATATGAACCACAACGAAAACCTAGTGATGAGCAAGTTGTTCTTGAATCTCCTCCAGTAACTGAAGAAGCTCAATATAAAGCAAGTTCAATTTTGACAGCAGTTCCAATTGCATTCCATCAAGAAGCTCATGAAGTAAAACATGAACCCGAAGAAGATTATCAAATTCAACGCAAGTTAAGCACTGAACATGTCATCGTTGAATCTCCTGAAATTAGTGAACATGAACAAGTAGAAGATCAATATGAACCAGAATTACGAACAAGTTCAGATAGAATTCAAATTGAACCTGCTGTAACAATTGAAAAAGAACGCGAAGAAACATTACTCGCTCCTACACAACAAATCATCGAACCGACTGAATTAATCACTACACACAGAGATGAAGAACAGGATTACTATGAATCCGAAGAAGAACTCATCAGTGATAATATTGTTGTTGAACCTCCGAAAATAGTCGAAGAAGAAGAAAAACATCATGATGAAGAATTACGGGAATTAGAAAAAGAAGCCGGTGAAACTCATGAAGCCGAGGAATATGAAACCGAACAAAAACCAACTGCTACTGATATTCACATCGAATCACCTCATGAAAGTGATCATGAAGAAGAAGAGAAAGAAGAACAATATCAATCCCAACGAAAACCTACTGATGAGTCAGTTGTTCTTGAAACTTCTCCAACAACCGAAGAAGCTCAATATGAACCAAGTTCAACCTTTGCAGCAGTTCCGATTGCATTTCAGCAAGAAATCCATGAAGTGAAACACGAACCTGAAGAATATTATCAAACTGAACGCAAGTTAAGCACAGAACAGATTATCATCGAATCTCCACAACTTAGTGAACATGAACAAGAAGAAGAGGAATATGAACCAGAATTAATAACAAGTTCTGACAAGATTCACATTGAACCTCGTGAAACAGTTGAACAAGATCGTCAGACATCATTAGACACTTCATACACGGATAAAAAAGAAGACCATTATGAATTTGAAGACAAATTAACTCGTGATAAGAATGTCTTCGAGTCTTCAGAAATCGCCGAAGAAGAAAGACTGCATAAGAAAGAACCATCAGAACAAGAAAAAGGAGCCGGTGAAATTTCTGAACCAATTGAATCTGAAATCGAAGAAAAAATAAGTGGTGCCGATATTCACTTGGAATCATCTCATGAAAGTGACCATGAAGAAGAACAAATTCGACCTGATCGAAAACGTAGCACTGATCAAATCATTGTTGAATCCGAAGAAGTTCAAAAAGATCAATATGAACGTGCTTCAAGTTTTGAACAAATTCCAAGTGCATTTCATGAAGAAATACATGAGATGAAACAGGAGCCAAGAGAAGATTATCCAACTGAAAGAAAACTAAGCACCGAACAGATTATTACTGGTTCTACAGAAGTTAGTGAACATGAAGAAGAAGAAGAGCAATATGAACCAGAATCGATAACAAGTTCGGAGGAGATCAAAGTTGAAGAAGATCGTCATGAACCGTTATCAACTGGTGCACAACAGTTCATCGAACCTGCTGCATTGGTTGCCCCACACATAGGTGAACAAAAAGACGAATATGAATCTGAAGAAGAACTAAGTGTTGACAAGAATGTTATCGAAGCTCCAGAAACAGTCGAAGAAGAAGAAAAACATCATGATGAAGAATCACTGGAATTAGAAAAAGAAACCGGTAAAACTCATGACATAGATGAACATGCAATTCAACAACAACCAACTGCTGCTGATATTCACATCGAATCACCTCATGAAAGTGATCATGAAGAAGAGGAGGAAGAAGAACAATATCAACCTCAAAGGAAATCTAGTGATGAGCAAGTTGTTCTTGAAATTTCTCCAATAACCGAAGAAGCTCAATATAAAGCAAGTTCGATCTTGGCAGCAGCTCCTATTGCATTCCACCAAGGAGTCCATGAGGTAAAACAGGGACCTGAAGAAGATTATCAAATTGAACGAAAGCTTAGTTCCGAACAAGTCATCGTCGAATCTCCAGAAGTAAGTGAACGTGAACAAGAAGAAGAGAAATATGAACCAGAATCGATAACAACTTCAGAGGAGATCAAAACTGAGCTTAGTGGTACAGTTGAACAAGATTTTTATGAACCATTACTGGCTTCTGCACAACAACTCATCGAACCGGCTCAACAAGTCACTGGACACAGAGATGAAGAAGAAGATTACTATGAAACTGAAGAAGAATTAACTAGTGACCAGAATGTTATCGAATCTGCAGAAATAGTTGGACAAGAAAAGAGACATGATGAAGAACTGTTGGAAACAGAAAAAACAACCGGTGAAATTTATGAAACAGGCGAATATGAAATCGAACAAAAATCAACAGGTGCGAATGTCTCGTTAGAATCGCCACATGAAAGTGATCATGAAGAAGAGCAAGAACAACGACTTTCTGAACGAATACGTAGTACTGACGAAGTCATTGTTGAAACACCTGAAATCGTCGAGCATGAAAAGTCACCATTCGAACAATTTCACCATGATGAACAGATTAATATAATACCACGTGACGAAATGGAAAGAGAAGAATCAGAACCAATCGATCATCAAGAATCACATGAAAGATTGTGTTCTCAAAAGACCGAACTCGAATTTCTTCAATTCAGTGAACCAGAGGAGGATGAAGATGAATTTCAACAATCACAGCTTGATCGAAGAGCTTATATTATATCTTCTCAAGAAACTCGACCAACGGAAATAGAAGTCGAAGAACAGTATCCATCAGAACGAAAACTAAGCTCGGAAAAAATCGCCATCGAATCGGCACAAATTATTGAACATGATCAAGAAGAAAAAGCTTATGAACGACCATTAACTTCAGAGCAAATTTCCGATGAAGAAAAAGAAGTACATAAACGAAAACTAAGTGTCGAAAAGCGCTCCACTGAGTCTCCCGACCTTAGTGAACATGAAGAAGATCAATACGAGCAAAAATTTGAAACGGAATCTATATCAAGTTCAGAAAAGATAAAGATCGAACCTACTGAAACATTTGAACAGCAACGTCATGAACCATTACTAATTTCTCAACAACAATTCATCGAACATCCTGAACTTCGCATTCAACACAAAGATGAAGAAACACTCGAAACTGAGAAAGAAGCTGGTGAAGTTCATGAAGAAAATGAATATGAAATCGAGCAAAAATCAACTGGTACAGATATTCATGTAGAATCACCTCATGAAAGTGATCACGAACAAGAAAAAAGACAATACGAATCAAGTTCAGGTTTCGAAGGCTTTCCGATAGCATTTCCTCAAAAAAGTGAAGAAATTAAACAAGAATCTGAAGAAGATTATCAAATTGAACAAAATTTAAGTACTGAACACGACGTTACTGGGTTTTCAGAACTAAGTGAACACGAAGAAGACGAATATCAATATGAACAGAGATATGAAACTGGACAATATCAGTCACCATCTATCACAAGTCCAGACAAGATGGACATTGAATCTGTCGAAATAACTGAACAAGATCATTCTGAACCATTACAAACTTCTGCACAACAATTCATCAAACCTCCTGAAATCGACACACAACAGAAAGATGAACAAAAATTAACCACTGATGAAATTGTTATTGAATCTCCAGAAAAAGTCGAAGGAGAAATGAAACATGATGATCAAGAAACATTGGAATTTCAAACAGAAGTTGGTGGTATTCATAAAGAAGATAAATATGAAGTTGAACGAAAGTTACGTGACGAAAATATTCATTTAGAATCACCTCATGAAAGTGATCATGAAGAAGAACAAGTTCAACCTGAACGAAAACGTAGTGCTGATCATATCGTTGTTGAACCCGTAGAAAAATTCGAACAAGATCAATATGCACCAACATTGAGCTTAGAACATGTTCTACATCAATATCACCAAGTAATTCAAAACGAAGAACAAGCTCTAGAAGAAATTAATGAAATGCAACGAATGCTAACCAGTGTACAACGCATGACTGGATCTCCAGAACAAAGTAAACAGAAACAACAAGAAGATCAATATGAACCAGAATCTTTATCTAGTTCACAAAAGATTCATATCGAACCTACTAAAACAGTTGAAGAAGATCGTTCTAAGCCATTACTCACCACTCAACAACAATTCATCGAGCAGCCTGAAGCAGGCATTCAACACGAAGATGAAGAACAAGAACATGATAAAGAATCATCAGTATATGAAAAAGCAGCCGGTGAAACTTCCGAAGTAGACAAATACGAAATCGAACAAAAATCAACTCGTTCCGATATTCATTTACAATTACCTCATGAAGGTTATCATGAAGAAGAACAAGTTCAACCTGAACGAAAATTTCGTGCTGATCAAGTTGTTGTTGAACCCTCTCAAGAAAGCGAAGAAGAAGACCAATATAAACCAACATTGAGTTTAGAACATGTTTTAAATCAATATCACCAAGTCATTGAAAAAGAGGAACAAGACCTAGAAGAAATTAATGAAGTTCAACGAGTGTTAACTGCTGTACAAGCCATAGTCGGATCTGTTGAACCTATCGAACAGAAGCAAACAGAAGATCAATATAAACCAGAATTAAGAATAAGTTCGGATTACATTCAAATCGAACGTGGCGTACCAGTTGAAAAAGAACGTGAGGAACCATTGCTCAGTTCTCAACCAAGATTTCTCGAACTTCTGGAAGCTGAAACTTCTCCGACGGATGAAGAAAAAGATCACTATGAATCCGAAGAAGAACTCAATAGTGATAATATGGTTGTTGAATCTCCGAAAACAGTCGAACAACAAAAAAGACATCATGGAGAAGAATCATGGGAATTAGAAAAAGAAACCGGTGAAACTCATGAGACAGAGGAATATGAAACCGAACAAAAACCAACTGCTACTGCTATTCACATCGAGTCACCTCATGAAAGTGATCATGAAGAAGAAGAGGAAGAAGAACAATATGAATCTCAGCGAAAATCTAGTGATGAGCAAGTTGTTCTTGAATCTTCTCCAGTGACTGAAGAAGCTCAATATAAAGTAAGTTCAATTTTGGCAGCAGCTCCAATTGCATTCCATCAAGACACTCATGAAGTAAAACACGAACCTGAGGAAGACTATCGAATTGAACGAAAGTTAAGCACAGAACAAGTTGTCGTCGAATCTCCACAACTTAGTGAACATGAACAAGAAGAAGAGTCGATAACAAGTTCTGACAAGATTCACATTGAACCTCGTGAAACAGTTGAACAAGATCGTCAGGAATCATTAGGCACTTCATACACGGATAGAAAGGAAGATCATGATGAACCCGAAGAGAAATTATTTACTGATGAAAAGGTTGTTGAATATCGAGAAACAGTAAAAGAAGAAGAAAAAACACCTCATGATGAAGAAGTGTTGGAAACACAAAAACCGGTCAGTGAAACTCATGAAATACATGATTATGAAATCGAACAAAAACCAATTCGTGCGGATATTCACATCGAATCACCTCATGAAAGTGAGCATGAAGAAGAAGAAGGAGAAGAATCATATCAATCTGAACAAAAACGTAGCGCTGATCAATTCGTTATTGAATCTGAAGAACAACTCGAAGAAGATCAATACAAAGGACCTTCAAGCTTTGAGCAAGCTCCAAGTACATTTCGCCAAGAAATTGAAGAAGAAAAACAAGAATCTGAACGAAGTTCAAGCTTTGAAAAAGACATCGTCGAATCTCCTGAACTTACTGAACGAGAAGAACAATATCAACCAGAATTTGTAATAACTTCTGACATAATGAAAACTGAAGCTGCTGAAACTGTCAAACAAGATCATCAATTAATTGAGCATCCTGAAATAGACACTCAACACATACATGAACAAGAAGATCACTTGGAATCTGAAGAGAAATTAGCTGTTGATAAGAATGCTATTGAATATCCAGAAATAGTCGAAGAAGAAAGAAGACATCATGATAAAGAATTATTTGAACCCGAAAAAACAACCGGTGAAATTTATGAAGTACATGACTATGAAACTGAACAAAAACCAAGTGGAGCAGATATTTACATAGAATCACCTCATGAAAGTGATCATGAAGAAGAAGAAGAAGTTCAACCTGAGAGAAAACTTAGTATTGACGAATTCGTTGTTGAACCATCTGAAGAAGAGCAATATGAACGAACTTCTAGTTTTGAACAAGTTGACGTTGGATTTCGTCAAGATATTGACAAAGAAAAACACGACATACACGATGATTATGAACAAGAACAAAAATTAGCTTCCGCAATAATTAGTTCTGAACCTCCTCAAATTAGCGAATATGAACCATTTGAAACAATCGATTATAAACAATACCAACACGAAATACCTCGAACTGATGAAAAAAATCAAACTGATGTCGAGAATATATTCAAATCAGAACGAAAACTTAGTTCCGGAAAGATCAGTCTCGAATCATCTCAATCCGATGAACATGCAGAAGAAAGTCAAAAATCTCAAGAAGAACCATTACCCTCTGAAATACACGATGCTGAATCTGCTCATGCAATTGAACACTATGAAGGAAAGTTCGATACTGATCAATATTCTGAAAAATCTGATCAACAAGAAGAGGATATTATCATAGAAGTACCACAAAAAATTGAAGATCAAGACACAGAATCAAAATCATTCGTATCAAGTGAATATGAAAATGTTGAACAATCTCATCATGATAAAATTATGACTGAACCATCAGAAAAAACCGAAGAAAAACACGACGATCAATCAATACAAAAGTTAAGTAGTGTTAAATTTATTGTTGCATCGGCTCCATCATCTGAAGAAGAAGAAAGAGAAGGATATGAATATGGACGTGAATTTCATATTGAATCAATACCAAAATTCGATGAAGAAATTGACGATGAATATTTTCTTAAAATGTTAGAAGCAAAATATTCAAATCAACAAGATATTTCATCAGAACAAAAAATCAAAACTGATGAAATCATTATTCAATCTCCTGATGTAAGTGAACATGAAGAGCAACATGAACCAATTCCATCTGAATTTGATCAAGAAATTAAAGAAGAAAAAGCAGAACGTAAATCAAGTGCTGATCAAATCATTACTGAATCATTTCCTTTAATTGAAAAAGAAAAAGATGAAAATATTCTTGAAAGTTCTCCAACGATTGATAAAGAACCAATAGAAAAACAAATGACTGATGAAATTATATTTCAATCTTTAGAAACTATTAAACAACAAAATATTGAATATGAACGACCATTAAGTTCAGGACTTGTTACACTTACGTTTCCTCAACAATATGATGATGATACATATAAATTAAAATCTCAATATGAATTTGAACCAAGTTCAAGTGCTGGAAAATCTACTATTGAATCTTTACAAGAAAATGAACAAGATAATGAAATTATAACAGAAACTTCACCAACATTAGAATATCCATATGAATCTTCACAAAGTTTTAAACGTGAAATAATTGATGATAATTTTACTAATCTTGAATCATCATCGTTTCATAAAGAACAAGATGATGACAATGATGAAATTGAACATCATCAATTAAAACGTCCTCAACAATGGACACAATCACCATTTCAACGTGATGAAATCTATGGTGATAAATATCGTCCTACTAAATATTCAATTGAATCACCTGAAACTGAACTTCAACAATCATCAAATTATAAAGAACAACACGTAGAAGTTGAATCACCAATAACATCTCATATTCAACGTTCAAGTGTAATATCACGTACAATTCCAGCTTATTCTGACGAAGAAGAATTAGAAGAACAAGAAGAAAATGATTTTCGTCCAACACATCTTGATATTTCTATACCCGATGAAGATTTATTGAAAACTTCAACATCTGACGAACAAATCTATGAGGAAAATAATCAATATGAAAATGTTCTTATTCAAACATCAAATGATATTGTTGATCAAATTTTAAATGATGCTATTCGAGAAACAACAGAACAAGATTTAAATTATTCATTATATCAAACAGCAAAAGACATTGTTCATGATGTTATAGATAATGTTCAAAAAAAATATGATGATGATATTGTTTCATCACAAATTGAAGAAGCAACAAGTGCAGATGTATCAATAAGTGATATAACTGATTGGTCGGCACTTGTTAAAACTACTCCTGATATAACAAATCAAGAAAAACCAACTCAAAGAACAGATAGTTCAAGCGATCATGAAGAAGAAAAACAACAACAAGAAGAAAGTCCTAAAGATGAATATACAATATCCGATGAAGATGATGTTGAAGAAAAAAATAAACTTGTTCCAACAACAATGGATCTACCATATTTATCTGTATCAGATGTTGTTACATCAAAATCAACACAAGAACTTGGTAATCTTGTTCAAGAATTACAAACACTTGAACAACAAATAAATGAAAATATTGATCTTCATCATTCATTATCAACATCGTCATCATCATCATCAACATCATCAATATCAGAAAATGATGAAATTCATCATTATGATTTAAATAATGCACAAATAACAAAAACAACATCAACTAATGAATTAACAAATCTTATTGCAGAATTACAAACAATTGAAGAACAACTTGAAGATAAACTTGATTCGAAATTAGAACAAAAAACTGATATACCTGTATCATCAGAATCTATACATGAACTTGGTAGTTTAATGAATGAATTAAATGATGTTACAGAACAATTACAGGAACGTTTACAACAAGAACAAACTGTTCAATCAACAAATATTGATCAATTATCACATGATATAATTAAATATCGTCGTGATTCACAAACCAATGCATCAGAGAAGTATTCACATCGTACAGAACGACGACCATCAAGTCCACCAACATCACCATTATATAAACACGAATTTGTTCATGTTACATGTCAATCTATGAGTGATGTTGATCAAGTTCAAGAACAGTTACGACATGAACATGAAGAAAATGCAATTTTAAAAGATATGATTAATACAATTATTAATCAAGCACAACAAAATATACAATCGGGCGTAAGTTTTTTCATTTTCAATCACAAACTAAAAAAAAATTATCTTCAATTCCGATTGTGGTGAGATAATTCTACATCTAGATTTTGACTTCGTCGATTTTTGGAGATGATCCTTTTGAGTCATGTTTTAAAAAATATGTTAATATTTTTATTGTACTTATTTGGCAACTGTTTTGAAGTTCCATGTTGAGTTACATGAATTTTCAGGTCGCAACCAAGTCTATTTTATTAGTCTTCATAAAAAAATTTATTCCTATGAATAGTTGATATACTTCACTGTATTGATTGAACAACTGATGTCTTCAACGAGAGCATTTCAACTGCAGAAATTCATATAATAGTTTTCATCTATTAATACACAATGTCATTTGTTGCAATGCAATTCGCTGAGAACTACTTTTTAATTTAAATGAATGCTAATGAGTACTACGGAGTATAGTAAACATTCATGGAACTAAAACTTTCGATGGAAATTAAGGAGACAAACTTGGGCTTACCTCTAGTCGAGTTCCTACTAGAGCAGTGCACAGGTAAAAATTTTTCGTATCCCTATCCGACGCGCGAGTTGTAGTATTCTAGTTTCTACCTAGCAGATCGACATGGCTGAATGACTATGTTGTTCGGCACGTATTCTATGGATACTGTGTTTAAGCCTAAGTACTATCAGCCATGAAATGATCCTGAGCAAGTCACTGACGGCTTTTTATCTCGGTTTATCCATCTGATAATTTGCTGACTAACGAAACAGTTAAGTGCAAGAATTCTGCGTCTAATTGACCTTTTTGCTAAGAGCTACAGCTAGTCATGTTTTCAAGAAAGATAGTGAGTTTGATACTAGGTAGCACCCTACACATAAAGACAAGGGTATGCTTCCTTTCTTCCTATCAATCAGCAAGACTAAAACAAAGCTCATATAGTTTTATTTAATTCTTATACGAATTCAAAAATTAAAAAAATACATTATTTCGTATTTTTAGTTACCAGAAGTTTCACAATCAGCTCTAAAAGCTGTTCCAACACTTGTTATTAATCAACGTCGTATGCCATATATTCAATCATCAGCTACAAGTATATCAGATGAATTAGATTTTTCTCATGATGATAGTACCGGTGATAAAACAAGTGAATTAGCTGCTCAACTTGATTATCTTCGACGTATGTCACGTTATGAAAATTTACTAGATGAACAACATCATATTGAAATAGTATCAAATGAAACTAATCGACGTATGCATGAAGATACAATTATTCATATAACACCGGATGATGATGAAAATGAAATCATGTCAACAAATTATTTAACTATTGTTCGAGAAGAACATCAAGCTTTAGATGAATATGACGAAGATCATGATGAAGATAAAGATAAAGAAAAAAAGAAAAAAACTAAACGTAAATGTTCTGAAGATGATGATAAATCTTTATCAGAACATCATGATTCAGACGATGATGATGATCATGATCATGATTATAAAGATAATAAACCATCAATACCTTTACATACAATTGAAACTATTCAATCTGAATCAAATCAACAATCAACACCAACTGAATCAAATCAAAAACAATCTCAACAACATCAACAACAACAAAAAGAACAAATGGAAATGAGTCGCGATTCCATAAATGAATTAATGATAATGAGTCAAGATTCTCTTAAACAACGTTCATCTGATTCACTTGATGCTGAACAAGAATTAAAATATCTTCTATCCAATCCTAATACATCAACAATATCAACAAATGAAACTGATGATTTTATGTATAAACAACATACAAATGAACCAACACCAAGTCGTATGATGATGAAATATGATGAAGATGATACAAATGATATTCGATCAACAACAAAACAATATTCATTAATATCAAATGAAATTGAAATAGGACAATTACCTGTTATACATGCACGACGTACAGCGAGTGAAAATAGTCTTTTTAGTACATCATCATCATCAATACATATGTATGATAGTCATTCATTATCAGCATCATGTTTAGTTGATAAAGATGATTTAACACCATCAAATGATTATATTGATTATCAACAAACTGTTTTCTATGATGATTCACAAAAAAATCAACAAATTTATCGTGAAACAACAACAACAGATGATGATAATCAGTATAATAATTTAAATACAAATATAACATCATCACCAACAACTGGTATTGGTTTTTTTGATCGTGTTAAAGCATTTGTTACAAAACCAGTTGAAATTGTACAAGAAGCTATGGAAAACCGTCGTAAACAACGATCAACATCATCATTAAGTAGTAATGCAGATTTAAATGATAAACAAATATTAGATAATGAACAAAATTTATCTTCATCACCATCATCTCAACAACAACAACAACAACATTTTCATTCAGCATATGATTTATATGATGAAGAAAAATTAAAACTTGTTCGTAGTCCAGAATTATATGATATGGATAATGTTAATAGTTTCAATCAAAAGGTTTTATTAACAAATTTACAAGCACAAAATCGTACACAATCAGAATCAGCATTAGTTATAGATGATTTAAAACATCATAGTATAGAAACAGCAAGTAATGAAGCATCTGAAGAATTTTTACCAACTATATCAAAAGATAATTCATTAGAATTTATACAACAACAACAACAACAACAACGTCATTCAACACCTTTTGATGATGTTATGGAAAAAGAATCAAGTTCAGAACATTCAGAATCATATAATATACCAACATCAGCTTTTTCTGATGCATTTGAACCAACTAGTAGTTGTCAAAGACCATTAGCACTTACTTTACCTGGACAACAACCATCATCACCACCACTACCACAACAACAACAACAAACTATTGAAGAATCAATGACTGAAGAAGAATTTGATACACTTGCTGCTGATTATGTTCATCAAGTATTAAATGATGTTGTAGCACAAATGATTGGTGAACATGATGATTCTTTAAGTAATAAAAGTGATAAATTAGTAGGTAATGATACATCATCAGATGATGATGAAGATGAACTTGTTGAAGCAGAAGATGAAGAACAAAATCAAAATCCAATACCAACTGATACAAGTTCATTTAGTGTTAATGATCGTTATAGTGCTGATGAATCATCCAATACACGTGAACAATCAGCTGATGAAGAAACTTCAGCACGATCATCAACAACAGCAACACCAACAAAAACTTCATGTCATAAAAATATATATACTGAAGATCTTATTGATGAACAAACACCAATTATATTAAAATCACCACCAATTGTTAGTCATGGTTCACAATCAGATACAGGTACATATTTTAGTATAGTATCACCATCAAGTGGTGATTATGTTGATGCTTATAGTACTCATTCAACCATTGATGATGATAAATTAGGTCTTCAATATCATACACAATCAAATTCTAGTCAATATTTAACAGCTAATGATGAAACACCAAATTTATTAACATCTGATGATAATGAATATATTAATGAACGTGGTAAAATAAATTATGCTTATAATGATTCAAGTTCAGATGATAATTATTCAAATAAAAATCGTCAAGAAAATTTTATAATAACAAATGAAAAAATATCTGAAGAAAAATATTCCGGTGAAGGTGAAGAAAGTAGTAGTGGTAATCAAACATATGTTCAACAACGACGAAAACGTTCAAATGAACAACGTTCTTCATTATTAAATGATTTAACAACAAATACATCAGAATCAACTACAACAATAATACCACAACCAACAACAAAAAGTGTTTCATTTAAATTAGATTTAAATGAAAATTTTCAACGTTCACCACGTTTATCAACAAGTAGTGGAACAACAATACCAAGACAAGAAAGTCTTGATTCACCATTAAATGATTCAAATGATAAATCAATAATAAAAATTTTACAAGATGAAATTCTTCGTAGTAATTTAGAAACAATTAAAAATGATTTAGAATTAAATTATCCATATGATAGAGAAATTTATCCATCAACATCAACACCAACAACAATACAACCAACAAAAAAAACTTTATCATCATCAGAATATGATGCTGGAAGTGAAAGTGATCAAGATTCAATATTAGTTGATTCAATTAAAACAACTATACAAGAAAAATTAAATGATATTTATCATGATAAAGAATCATTTATTGATAGAATTAAATTAAAATTTGAACGTTCATTAGATCGTTTAGTTGAAAAAACATTAGCTGGAGAAGTAAATACAAGTAAATCAGATATAATATCACCATTTACTGATCAAAGTCTTGATCGTTCATTACCAACAATAGCACAACCATCAACTATGATTCATGCGCATAGTGAACAATTATTACAAGCATGTCCAGATGAACTTGACTATGGTACATTACAACGTTTTAGTTCTGATAGTTGTATAATAATTCATGTACCTGAACAATATACACCATCATCAACATTATTTTTTGATCAATTAAAAACCGATCAAATAGAAAAAAAATCTTCATCAAATCAACAAACATCTGCATTTAGTTATTATACAAAACAAGATCATCAACAACCATCAAGTAGTCCAATAGAAATGTTAAATCCAACAAATGAATTAATTGAAAATATATCACCGATTAATCGTTATACACCACGTTCATTAGATGATTCATCAGTTGAATTAGGTGAACGTGATATGACAGATATGTCTGATGAATTTGTTTTAGTAAAAAATTTATCACCATTAACAAATACAAAAGATATTAAAAATGATACACCATCAAATACATCATCAAGTTCATCGGAAAAACATGAAAGTCCTGATTTAATTGATATACTTCAACATCAATGTGATTATCCACCACTTGATACAGGTTTTGATTTACGTTCTGGTACAACATTAGAAACTGTTTATGAAAGTCCAGAATTACGACAAGATGAAATTAAATCAGCTATAAGTACATTAAGTTTAACAACAACTGATAATAATCGTCCATATTCAACAGAAAATAATTCATCAAATACACCAAATACAGATGATTCATTAATGGAATTTGAACGTATTGAAATGGAATTATTAAAAAATACATCAACAACAAATATTATTGATATTGTACGTGAAATACGTTCATCTGTTGATTCATTAACACAACAACAACAACATGATGATAATAATAAAGTTGAATCATTTATTGAAAAACATTATCCAACAATACAAAATGATGTTGAAAATGTTCTTAATGATATACTTGATATGACAAGTGATTTAACACATTCAATATCATCACAATCAGATGCAACAACAGTTATATATAAATCTCAACATCATTCATTTGATGATGATTATGTTGAAATAACACATGATGATATTAAAAATCAAGAACGAAATTTATTTTCATCGGATGAAGATATTCTTCATAATCAAACAACATTATCTAGTCATGATAAACGTCGTTTATCAGCACCAAATAATGAAAATATATCAAGACGTCTTAAAACACCATCATCAAGTTCATCATCATCATCATCATTTTCATCAACATCTCGTTCTGTGATATATTCTCAACAACATTCACATCCATCTTATCAACAACAACGTTTATTACAAGCTGAAACAGATTTAGCTAGTTTTAAACAACATCAACAAACACAATCAGCAACTGATTTACCATTTTTACCTCCATTTGTAAATACAAATCCTATTAAAAGAAAAAAACAATCATCATCAGTTTCATCAACACCAACACTTTTTCCTACTGAAATAACTAGTGGAGATTCTAAGAAAAAAACTCATTCACATCCCGGTTCGTTAGGAGGTAGTCAAGTACCTCCTCGGTCATCATTAATAAAAGAAGAAATAACTTCTTCTCCTATCACATCTGTTTCTCCACATTCTTCTTCTTCTCATCATTCGGATGATTGTTTTTGTACGGATCCAACAACAACAACTAGTCATCAACATTAAATTTTAAAGTGGTAAAAAAAAATATATCATTCTCTGTTCTTATACCACTTTCTCTGTTGTAATCAGTATAGAGAACTTCTTATTGTGTTTAATTCACTAACATCTAATGCTTGCTTGTTGTGTAGAATTGTGCTTACATATTGTATATCTTATATGTATAGATATCTATATAAATATCATTAACGAAAAAAAAATATTTCATTAATTAATATTCATCTTTTTCTTTTTTTTTTTCGTTTTAGGTAATCACCATTTTTTAAGTAAGAACAAATTCAAAATACAATTATTAATTTAATATATGTATGTAACTTGGTATTTTATTTTAGTCTTTGATGAAAATTATATTCACTGAAGGGCGATCTTCTATTTATTGACTGACATTTTATTCTTTTAACTTTGTTGTCGTCAAATGGCTTCGATTTTTTTTTTGTTTTTTGTGCGCTTGATTAACAAATTTTTTCTTGTCTTTTTGTGCTTTATACAATACGAGCATATTTGATTGAACAAAATGACGACAATACATATATTTAAAATGTGTTAAACACATCTTATATCAAAACATAAGTCATCTTATAATTAAAAAAAACGAGATTTCTCTCTCTCTCTCTCATTTTCTCTTCTCATTGCAATTATTCTCGTTTTTTCTTTTCTTGTATTCTTATTATTGTCGTCCTACTACAATCGCTATTGCTACTATTCGGGATCCTCTCGACTGGTCCCCCTTGCCAATTATCCCAACTGGTCCCCCCTTAATTGACTCTCAATTCGTCCCCAACAAAATTCGTTCCTAGTTGATTGATTCTCAATTCGTCCCCTCAATTAGCCCGTCCCTGTTCAGAAACAATTAGAAACAAATATAGGAATAATAGTCATCAGTCAGAAAATTGATTGCTGCGTAGAGCACTCTGTATATATATATATGATGTTTTCTTAGTAGTGTATTAGTTTCCCTATTGACATTATCTTTGCTCTGAGAAATGCTGCTATTCACATCTTCGGAGCGCGGTCAACCTATACTCAATTACAATTCTCATCAATACACAAAGAAGCGTGCGAGAAAGACGAGCAACGAGTGGCGTTGTCGAGATCGTGGTTGTGCCAGCATGCTTTCTCTTTGCATAGTCGATGCAAAAGTTCTTCGCGAGCCCTCTACTCATACTTTTCAACAACCAGCTTCTGTCGGCAAATCTCTAGTCGACAAAGCAGTTGGTAATATGAAAAAACGTGCACGAGAGGAGACTACGCCGATCCCGAAAACCTATACACAAGAAATCGTTAAAGCTCGTAGGTTGTGGGTGTTGATGTGGATATGGATATGGCTCTAGTCTTCAACCACACCCACACTCACCCGAGAATCTCGAGCTCCTTCTTAACGACCATAAGGGCGGATTGATCACTGACATGCAACTCGCGATCAAATACGGACGCGCTTTGAAGACAAAACTTGTCAAATGATTTTTGTTTCTTTTATTTTTTTTCTTGTTTCTTTGTTACTCTTGAATAAAACAGCTGATTGTTGAAAATCGTCTGTTTATCAAATTAGCCACCAATTAGTGGCTATTGGATTGGGGGACGAATTGAGAATCAATTAACGGGGTATGAATTTTGTGGGGGACGAATTGAGAGTCAATTAATGCGGAGGGGACGAGTTGGGGACGAATTGGGGACCAGTTGGGGACGAGTCGAGAGTAACTCCTACTATTCTGCTTATTTGATTTTCTTTTCTTTTTGTTTGTTTTTTTTTTCGCTGTGTCTTTGCTTCACTATATATGTTCATTGCATTATCATCATTCAGAAAAAAACAAACCCAAATAAAATAGTCTATGAACAAAAACAAAAACTTATTCTTTTTTTATGTATAAAAAAAATTTATTCACAAAAAAGAAAACATTATGATGTATTGTTGAAGTTGAAATATTAATCCTGAAAAAAAAAGTAACAGAAGAACATAAACAAATTTACTTATAGAGAGTTTAAAAAAAAAAGAAGAATAGATTGTAACAAAAGTAATTAATACCTATTACATATGTGATTGATTGGTAAACTAAATAATAATGATATAATTAAATTTTGAATTACTTTCGAAATATAGTTTAAATGTACAAATCAATTAATTTACTTGTGGAGGATAAATGTATAGATCTCGATGATTAAGTGATAAGGGTATATTTGATTGATTAGCTGCATCTTTGAAATTGACTAGTCGATAATGTAATTCAGCACGGCCAAACTAAAATATTATTTTAATCTATATGAATAATATTTATTATTGAGACTTGATATGATTTAAAAATACGTCGTTAGATATTGTGATAAAATTGAAAATAGAACGAACATAAGCCAGACTATTTTTGGCAGTGATATAGAAAAGGGTTCAATTTTTATTATTGTTTTGTTTTTCCATATCACTATCAAAGAAAATCATCTAGTTTATGTTTGTTTTGTTTTCACTTGTATGGTAAGTCATTTGTTATTATTATTATTTATGTCTGAAATAGAGCTGGGCAAATATGGCTTTTCTCGAGTACGAATACTAACTAGAGATGTGCAAGGTCACCAGCAAACATTTCCCGGGATCGAAATTTTAGTATATAGTACAATATTCTGTGGTTTTAAGCAAATTATCTTATAAATCATATGCATCAGAACATAATTCAAGAGAAGATGATTCAAGAAAGTGCTTGTCGACTAAATAAACCAAGAAAAACATGGTACATATTCATACTTGTTCAGCGCGATTCTGACAAATATCTCATTGAGATACTTACCTTTCCTTGTGGCACATGATTGTTTTTGGATATACAATATCTCAAGAATAGCACATCCTTTTGGTATGAAATATTCAGAATATTCTTAAGTTCATGATACCTATCTATGAGCAAAATTTTAGATTGAATTGGATGATTCAATACTTTCATAAATAATTCTTCAAAAATTAACAATTCCATAAAACTGTAATGGCTTACGAATGAACCTTGATAAGCTTTTTCTAGTCTCGTCAGAAGTTACGTACAAGCAAAATATCAGTTCTATTGGCAAATCACACCCAAGGACTCTCCTTCATCAAACATTTAGATGATTTACAAGATGCATTGCACTCATCATCAATATATCCGTACAAAATACTGACATGAATGAACTGAAAACATTCTATTTGTGAAAATTAATCATCCATTGTTGAAAGAAGAGGTCAATTAACGGTACTAGCACTTAAAATATGTAAAAAACAAACTTATTTAGTACATTTGATTTAGTTAAATATGAACATATTTAGTTATAAATACAATACAATCATTACTATAACTAAATTGAGATTCGTCGATGAAGTTTTATCAAGACAACAGTATTTTTGTTTTTGATGAATTTACATTAGATTTTCCTCAGAAATCTTCCCGATATGACAAAAGAGCAAGGAATTTATAAATCTATTACAAATCCAAAAGTTTATCAAGTATCGTATCTCATTTTAGTGTAAATTAACTATGTTACTTCTCAACGGACAATGAATTCACTTACTGTTGGCAATGTATTAATACTAGGAAAACTTTCATTATGTAAAATAGGTAATGATCTTAATGGTACTTTCCATCGACCACTCAATAAACGATTCTTATGGTCAAATAATGGTAATTTAGTCCAAGCATTTGTACGTAATGGTTCATTTGGATTTTGTTTTGCTGTTGTTTGTATTTCAATAACAACTGATAATGCTTGCTGTGGTGGACAACTAACAAATAGAAATATTAGTTAATAAATAGACATTAAAAATAAAACATTAATTCTTTATTAATAAAACCTTGGTACAGGTTGTCTAGTAGCAAGTAAAACAACACCCATTTGTTCGCCAGATGTATGATTAATATATAATTCACATCTGAATGTTTCTAAATATGATGGTTCACCAAGTCCTGATTGTGCATGATGAAGACATGTTATAAGTCGACATTTTTCAATTGTTGGATGAAAATTAGTAATAAAATCAAAAAGTAATACAAAACCAGCAAATGGATCATATGGTTGTGGATCTAATGGATCCAATAATTTATTCGTATTCGACTTAGAACGATTTTTTGATTGAATTCCACGTGATGTTATATCATTATCAAGTATAGGTAATGATGATTGATAAAAATCTCGACGTTGATCAAATGGATTATAATCTGTATTTGTATAAATTTGACGAGAAGATGTTGGCTTTAAAGAACTTTTTGGTTGATAACGATCAATGGTTGATGATGGATAAGTATAATCATTTCTATTTGATTTAGGATCTAGTATTCCATTTGTTGCTAAAGTTAATTCTAATTGTCGAGTACCTTATACAAAATAGTAGTTTAAAAAGTTATTTTTAAAGAAAAAAAGTAAATAATAAAATACGTGAATCAAGTCTTTGAAATTTATGTTGCATATCATTAAGTTCAGTTTGAAGACGTTCTTTTTCATTTTTAACTAATGTTAATTTATCAGGTGTAGGTTCAATTAGAAGAACTGGACGATCTTGAAATAAAAATAATCAAAACAAGCGAAAAAAAAATTAGATTAATGTCTATTCGGGAATTAAAGATACTTGATTAAAAATTGAATTACTCAAGAACGGTATGGCTTAGCGATTTGTCGTTTTCAGCATAGAAAGAGCACAGTGATGGACACTAGTCTATATATGATACGATGAGATTTAGCAATGACGAAGGTTTGAAAAATGTGAATCTTTGAAAAAAACAGCTTAAACTCATAGTCCATAGTATCATTTTGTTCTTCTTTTCTATAGATTATAATGATGGGCAGTCACCTATCAATAGCACACATCATCCAGATACCAATTATTTGATAGTCGAAAGTTTGAAGAGCAGCATGAGGAATTTATGCAGTCCTTCATGGAAATATTCTAATAATGTGAAATTGCTCTTGAATAATATATACATATAGGTTATCAATCCTTCTAAAGCGAATGACAAAAGTCAATACGGATTGAAAAACAATCTAAAGTGCCAAATATATCGTATTCGAGCATATCGTCAGCACGATTAGTATAATATTTATAGATTAGATTTTTCGCATGTCATTTCAACATTTTGAAATTAAAATGCATTGATATTGAAAATGAAGAACGATTATTTATCATTTATAGTGCAATGATCTTCTTATTGCCAAAAAAAAGGAAACTCATCGAATTCCATTTCAAAATCTTAAATTCGTTTGACATTTTATTTAGATCGACGAAGTAGCAATGCAATTTGATGTTGAAATTGTTCGTCTACCAACCAAACATTGCGGATTTAATCCAATGGAGCACGTATGGGCATAGTTAAAGGACTACGTGAGAAAAAACCAATACTCGTTTTCGTCTCAATGAGATATACAATCTGGTTGCAGAATTCATTGCGGGTTTTGATCAAGGCGCAGCTAACAACGCTATTGAACACGCTCATCGGATTGAAAATACTTTCCGAACTGGTGATCGTTTTGTTGAAGAAAGAGTTGAACCTGATTTGAAAGATATAGATTCTGATACTGAAATGGAACTCGATAATGACGATGACGTTTAGATCCTTTTCGTTAACATCTTTTTTGAAAACATACTAAAGAAATTGTCAATAATAAATTTGTTAATAAAAACCTAGTAGAGACAAGACATAATAAAAAAATATGAACCAGTTTTAATGATCGTTCAGAAAAGGCTAATCTATAAATATTATACTAATCGTGCTGACGATATGCTCGAATACGATATATTTGGCACTTTAGATTGTTTTTCAATCCATATTGACTCTTATCATTCGCTTCAGAAGGATTGATAACCTATATGTATATATTATTCAAGAGCAATTTCACATTATTAGAATATTTCAATGAAGGACTGCATAAATTATTCATGCTGGTCTTCAAACTTTCGACTATCAAATAATTGGTATTTGGATGATGTGTGCTATTGATAGATGACTGCCCATCATTATAATATATATAAAAGAAGAACAAAATGATACTATGGACTATGAGTTTAAGCTATTTTTTTTAAAGATTTACATTTTTCTAACCTTCATCATTGCTAAATCTCATCGTATCATATATAGACTAGTGTCCACCACTATGCTCTTTCTATGCTGAAAATGATAAACCGTTAAGCCATACCGGTCTTGAGTTATTCGATTTTTAACCAAGTATCTTTAATTCCCAAATAGATATTAGTTAATTTAAATACATCGATATTGTTTTAATGGTTCAGGATAATCTTTCATCCATGGATAATATTCATAATAGCGTAATCTATGTTCAAGATCATTATATTGTGTAAGAACATTAGGATCATAGCCACCCGATTGTAAATATACATTACGTAAAGATCTATGATAATAATTCAAAATTTCAAAAGTTATTCATTTTATATGCTTACTTGACATCATCACTTGCAGCTCGTTCAGAAGAATGAATATGTGGTAAAGATGGACTATCATTTGAAGTTCTTAATGAACTATTAAAAATTAAAAGAAAAATTTCTTTTATTTGATTTAGAATAGGAATACCTATTATGATACACAAGACGTCTTCGTAAATATATTAAAGCTTTTTCATTTTGATCTTGTTGTTCTTTCATATCACTTAATAATTTATGTGATTCATGATTCGGGGTCAAGGATGATTGACTATCACGAACGATAAAGTCTTCAAGTTTATTTTGAATAACTATATAAAAAAGAGTTTTTCATTACGTCATGGATTTCTTTTTTCTTCTGTAATTTAGATTATATTTAATATTTACTTTGACGTTCTTGTCGTAGACGAGTATTTTGTCGATGTAGAACTTCTAATTGATTTCTTTCATATTTAGTTAAATCATTTGGTTGATTAAACTAATAGATAAAATTGAAGAGAATCAAACCAAACAAAAAGAAATACAATTCAATTTACATATAATCTAGATTGTCCTTGTAAATTAAACATTTCTCTAAGAAGATCACGTTCTTGTGCTTGTAATTGTTCATACTTTGAAAAGAAAAAAAATATTGTTTCTTATTGAAAATCCATTTAAAATTATTTCATTAGGATTCTTACTTCAGCTAGAATGTGATTATAATCTTGCGTTCGTTTCTTAAGATCATTTGCCAATTTTTGTGTTTTATGTGAATCAATTAAAATTCTATCTTCCATATCTTGTACACTTTGAAGAATAGATCGTTGAGTTTTCCATTCTTTTACTTCGTCTATTTTCTATCAGAAGAATATTCTCAATAAGATATTATTCCAAACAAAATGAAGTATAAAATGATCGAAGTATAATTCAGGGTTGCAATCGATAGGACCGTTTTTTCTTCCTGGTACAGACAGAGACGGTTAAACTGAACCGAACCGTCCTAAGTCATTCTTTATTTTTTTCTGACTGTATAAAAGTCCAATCAAACCCTTAATTAGTCATATCTTCATCTTAAGTACTACAATAAGAATGTAATGGTTCTTTTTTTTAGTACTTGTTGTTATTTATTTTCGAATTTTTTTTTATTTGTTAATTTTTATTTCCGAACAAAAAGCATCATAGGAAAACAAATTCTATATCAATTTTCCACATTCATTAACGGTTCGTTAAACACGAATATTATTTGGTACATGTATATTTAACCTTCTTCTTACATTACATTCACTTTGTTAACCTTTATGTGTATTTGAAAGATATTCTATTGATAGTAGGAACTCCTTAAGCGCTCTACTACCCTTTCGTAACCCAACGTTTTTTGTGGCTATTGTATAACCTGAAGTAATATCTATTTACTGAGAACATTTTGGAATCAAAAAGCCGTCGTTTCACGTTAAAAGAAAGTCAAATTAGCAAAAGCTGTAGATTGTTTCGTGTTTTTCTCAAAATTAATTATAGAACAGAAAAATGGAGACCTTTCCCTTCGTCCTCTCAGAACTTTCGACTCATTAAACTGAATTTTTTTGTTTAACAAATAGGATCAAATCGGGGTATATATATATCTATTTTTTTCTTATAGTAATGTTGTGGTAATTTTTAGCACAATCTTACTAAACTTGTTTCAGATAAAGCAAAAAAAACATGTATTCTGGGAGGGCTTTCAGGATTTTGGTTAGCCTAAGTGAAAGAAACAATATCTGTCAAGGAACATCTCAAATTAATCTTATTATTACAAAGAAATTCAACCATAATAAAAATTATTGACTATTTGAAGAAAAACTTCACGTCATTTTTGACCCTTGCGTCCTCTATATCTCATAGAATAAAGCATTCTGAAATTCTGAGTCTATAGTAAATTTTTCTCTTCTACTCGAGATCTATCTACCCCGAAAAGTTTAGAATTTTCGACCGAGCTGCTCTTGAGAAATCCAAGAAAGGATGGAGGGATACGCTTAAAATACAAGTAAGTTCTTTGGGATCTTATGATACATTCTTATTTGAATTAATTTCGAATAATCTTTAACATATTATTTAATTTGTAAATTAAATATTACTTTTTCAACAGGTGATGAATGTGTAACAACTTTTCTTAATGTTGGTTGATTAGTTAGATAATTTTCTCTTGTATAATTATTAATTTCCGCATTATCTAAATAATTTGGTTTTCTTCTAATGTCAGAACTTTTATTACCAATACAAAATCTTGCTTTATGTTTAAATAAAACTTCATCATTTGCAAATATCATTCCACATTGATTACATTTAACTGTTGATTGAATTGGCATTATTAATGGAGCAGCTGGATGGAATTGACGAGTAGCTGGTTGTAAAATATCATTCGAATAATGTTCGTTTTTATCTATATTATATGATGATGGATCAGTAAATATTTGTCTAGGTTGATAGTCAGATACATCATAAGATTGTTTACTTCCTGACGATCCCATTGTCTGACACTCAAATTTCTCATGTAACTTTTTCTTTCTTTTTTTTCTGAAAGTGAACTGAAAGGTTTCAAAGTTTTTCTTTCGATTTTGAAGTTTATTACGAATCAATGACCAAGGGCTGTTTTTTTTTTCTTTTGTTTTTGATAGATTTGCTCTTAATTCAGCTACACTTACCGTCACATCAACATACAATGTGTACGAAAGTTGGATGTTATGGTAATATGTCTCTTTACATTATAAGTTGTTTTTGAGAGCATGATTCTGTTTTATTTTTCTTTAAACAAGTTTTTTTTTTTTCTTTTTTTTTCTTTTTTTAAGACAGAAAAATGGAATCTTTTCTTTTCTTTCTTTGACAATAATAATGACTAGTATAACAATAAAAAAAGAAAGCCTTTCGATGTGTTTCATGGTTAATAGAAAAAAAGAAATTATTTAGACAATACTTATATTTTTTCTATTGTGTATTTCATTTTGTTCACTGTTCATCCTTAAGTATAAATAATCGAATTATATATCAGTAAGAAACTTCTTTGTAATATTTTTTCATTTCAGCAAATAAATGAATATATTCATTTTATACTCCAGTTCTATTACTCACTTGAGCTACAGTTATTTTTTTGAAAAGTAGAACAAAACAAAACATTTTTTTACAAATATTCATAATTAAAAAAAGTTTGCATACGTTTCTTTTTATATCGAAAGAAAAAACACAAATTTGTAATAAGTTTCATATTTATTACTTTATTAAGAAACAATAACAAACAAAGGATCAAAGAAAAATATTAGAATTTGACAGCTGTCAAGGCTCAAGAATTAGAAGTACGTGGTCAAAAATATAATTTTTTTGTACTTTTCGAAGGATGGTTAAGAGAATCTTATGTAGAAAATTTTTAATGTTTATTCTTTTATATGAAATTAATGTATATAGTTTAGTTAAGTATAGGCCATTTTACTTGCCGATGGAATATGGATGCATGTGAGAATTTCAATTTAATTTACGATGAAAGAGTGGTTAATCATATAATTGAAGCAGATGAAATATCTTATTGAATATATAAAATTCAACTAGAATGGTTTCAACAAATAACAACGTTTATAAATGTAATGCAATTCGATCATGTCATATTGTACTTAATGGAAGTGTTTCTGAAAGTTTTTTTTTTTTAAATTACTTTATAAGTTTTGAAAAAATTAGTTAATGTAAGAAGACTATTCCGTATAATCATTGCATAATGACAATACATATCGGTTATGATGACTGATTGGACAAGAAATATTTTAACAAAATCTTCTCAAAAACAAAATGATAGACATCAAAAATAGTCTGAATAAATTAAGATCTCTATTGGTAGACAATAAATTATTAAAAAAATGGTCATAGCGATGATATAATTTTGCACTATTCAAATATACGTAAGGAAAAAAAGATTGATAAAATTTTCAGGATTAAATAAGTGTTTCAATATCTAATCACTGACATTCATACAGAAAATTTGAAAACGAACAAATTCAAAGCATTTGAAAATTTAATAGACTATGAAAAATGTCCTAATTCAATGTGAGCATTCAGAATAATTATCAATGTACTAAAACACTTCTTTCATTTATCATTTTAATCATGTGCTGTTTCTCGAAAAACATTTACTAAAAAACATTATATTACATTGACATGTGTTTATAGTTCTACTTTGCTTTGTGATGGACAAATTTCATATATAAAATTGAATGTCAATATGATTGTTATTCATGCCTTATCTATTGATAATATATAAAAATAGTTTTTTTTCAAATGATTTTCATAAATAAAATATCATCTGATACAAAAAGATTAGAACGTTCATGATTGCTTTTTTTTTCTTGTTGAATGAACTTGATAAATTTTGATATGCATGACAAATATTGAAATGAATACGGTTTTTTTTTCTTATCATCTATTATTGATTTAGAAATGTAATCCGTTTTTGGTGAAGTATTAAATATATATTGTTGAAAACAATGACAACGAAAAATATGAAATAAAATATTCATTTCTTAACACCAATAGCAATATTCTATTCAACAATTAATAGCTACTACACCTGACAAAATTCTTTTTATATATTAACACATTACACATATATTATGATAATCATATTTGAAAAAAACTGAAGTGTTAATTTATTGCTTAGATTTCAAAAAAGTAATTTTTTTTTTGATAGCATGTTCGAATATTAATCAAGCATTAGTCATTCGTTTTTTTTTTCATGATTACCTATTCTGATACATTTTCATAAGAAGATTTCGCAAATAGAGTATATCATTTACAGACAGATGATGAGAAATGATAAGTTTCTTTCCTTGTTATAAATAATTTTTTTTCAATTTTTTTTTCTTTTGAAAAATTTTGATCAATATTGAATATATTAAGAAAAATTGCATGTGAAATCTTCATAAGAATTTTACTTGTATAGTGTAGATACCTGTAGTTAAAAGCATAGTACAATAAAATCTCTTTGTGTGAGTACTTTCTTAAACTGATCAGTCTATAATCCCTCTAGCAAGAAAACAGTGCCAGGCTATATGTTACGTTTAAGATGAGACAATCTTCATTAGGTAAAGTCTTCTAAGACTAGAAAAAGCCTAGATAGATCTCTCATCGTGAGTCATCCTTCTAGAGCTGTGATTGTTTCACCAGATTTTCTGATCTTTAGTCGAATACTAATAAAAAAACTCGAGCAAACATAACCTCTCCTTGAGATATCGGATTCCCAAAAACAAACACTAAATTGTCTGCCACTTTTTTAGTTTCAAGTGCTGCTTATTGACAAAGTTTCAGACTAGAATTCGTTTGTTCGATTGTTACTATACGTGCCGTCGTCCAAGGTAAAATTACAATGCAACAACCATAACTTCAGAAGGACAGTGCATACAGGAAAACTTTTTTTGACGTATTCTAGTGTCGACAGATCTTGCCTAATGAAGGTTGTTTCATCTCAAACACGAGGTACTACCCGAAGTAGTTTCTTTGTACATGAGTCTTGTTAGGAGTCAACCACTCAAATATAAGTACCTTCTTATTTCGAACAGTAGGTACTTATTTATGGTCTCATGAACAATAATAGTCTCTATAATGTGAACAACATATGATGTCGAACCAGAAAAAAAATTGATGATATGTATATGGAGTTATGATAAACAATTATACAACACAAAGGGAAAAGGAATGGACTAGCCGTAAATGTTTGAAAGAAAAAAAAACGATATTAGACAACTGTTAAAATATTTGGTGTAATCTATTGTCGTTTTTGTGTTAACATTTAGTGACATAAATCATGTCAACACGAGTTGATCTACTTTTGATTAAAAGAAAACAGTTGAATTAATTAATTGTTAGAAAGAAGAAAATTTCACCTTGTACAGTCGGTAAGTGATTGCAACTGAATACTTATAAGTTGCAAAAAAAAAAGAAACTAAAATGAGCATCTCAGTAAAATGTGCGCTTTTGACCAGTCCTGATGGTATTGACATTAGAAAGATTTTATTCTAATCGAACGATGCATATATGATATCATGTTCATACCAAATGTTGATCTACGAAAAGAAATGCAGTTGCCAAATTCTTTACGATTACCTGAATTCTTGAAATATTTTAGGTAAAAAATTTCGTTTCATTGACCTTGAGATTTCTAGGTGTCGTAAAGTTTTTTTTTTCTTCCGTAAATATTTGCGGATTATATATTTGAATATTATTCAAATGGCTGATCGATAAACAAAAATAAAAAAGAATTTCATATATATATATTGTATTTAGTTTCAACCATATTCCATCCCCAAAAAACGTCTATGCAAACTTTATGTACAAATGATTATAGACAATGGTAATTATTTCTACCAATATTAATATATAATGCAAAAGTAATGGTACAAAATGTCAATCCTTATTTCTTTTCGATAAAAAGGTGCTGAAAGAAACTTTTTTTTTTTTACTAAACGATAAAGCTTTATCTCCTATTTCGATTTGTATACAACTTATTTTTATCAGACATTCATAAATAAAACGTTGCAACAGAAAAAAAAAGAAACTCTCTTAAAAAAGAGTCCATACTTTTCGTGACATTCAGAAGAACAATGCAAAATATTGATCCCTATACCTCTTTGATGACTCTTCGATAAACATGTTTCGAAAATGATACTTTTTTATCAGTTGATAGGAAACTTTCTTCGCTTTCAAACAGTATGCATGATTTATATTTTTGATATATTCGTACATGAAATGACACGAAAAACAAAAACAAAAATATATACGCAATAAATTTGTAAGTTTAATATAAACCCATCAAAAACATCTTGTTAGATAATAATTAATTCGATTTTTGTAGACTCATTAAAAAAGATTTCATAAAATAGTGGTTACTTTGACTTTTATGAAATTATTAAAAACATTTTGTAAAACGAAAATTGATTATAATTAATTGTAAATTAAACAATGTTTTTAACAAATTCAGATAAAAAACCACAAAGTTATATCGTGAGTGTTTCTCTTTTTACTTCGTCGCGTTTCACTTACCAATGTGTGACAAATATGAATCATACACTGTTCGAAAAAGGAAAAAATATTATGTCAACTGATAAAGAAAAAAATATTATTTTCAGAACTTGTTAATTAACCGAAGAAATGTAAGGATCGACATATCATTCCGTTACTTTTGCATCGTACGTTAATAAAACTTATGTTTTGATACTATCTTTCAAAAGAATTTAACGTTTATATTTGTATATATAAGAAAGGGAAAATTCATAATTTTTCTGAGTGCTTTTATCACCACGTATGATAGGCGTCTTGTTTGACGTGTTTTTTTTGTTATATCAGAATATATGAAAACACGTATATAGTGTTGATTGCAAGAACAGAACACAGAAAAATCTAGGAACGTAAGAAAAGCAACACATTAGACAATATTTTTTTTTCTTTTTATATAAATTGGTATACTTGAAAGTATAATTGCAACCAAAGAGGACGAAAAAACATCAAAATTTACTTATATGCTTATTATAATGTTATCGTTTTTTATATTATGTTGTTATTTGGGAATTTTTGATCCTTACGTATCATAGCTTACAATTTCAACAATCATTGTATCTAGTATATAACTTTTGAAAACTTATATAAACAAATATCAAATTTAAATTTAAGATCAACTTAAGTCTTAAAATTTCATTGATTTATGATTATTATTTACTACTATTATCATTGGTATTAGTTTATGATGGTTAATTATGATTCAATAAGAATGAAAAAATTCCGAATAATAACATCATACCAAAAATATTTTTCTTTATTAACATTATAAAAAGCCTTAATTTGTTTATTGATGCATGTTAAAGGTATGTCGAGAGTATGGGATTTTTGTTATTCGATGGAACATCTCTGTATTACTGTTTATTGACAATATAAACATATTTAACTCATATCTATGTAAATCTGTGTATAGATTTGCATGTTATAGAACAAAATGAATTTCCGTTTGCTAGTAAATATACATATTGAGTAGCGATTTAGAATGCATATGTAAATTTCTTATGTAAAAAAAAAAATACTTTCCTAATGTATTATTTCTTTAGATAAATAGGTCAGATTTGTTTTTATGTATAAAAATATTTTATACAATCTTACACGTACGAAATGTTATTTGAATTTAATCACGTCTTATATTTAATATTTATGCATTCATTGAGATAATTAGGTAGATGTTTTTGTTTTTATGAGTTATTATGTGTTTCATGAAATCAATCGAGTTATAGCTATGATAGAACTTCGTATTGGAGATTTTTAATGAAAGAGGTTTATTTTTTTGTGAATATATATATAAATACAAGGAAAGATTCTTCCTTTCTTTTTTCTTCTTCGTCTCATGTTTAACTAAGACATTGTTTATTTTATATGTCTGTTTTAAAGTAAATATAGACACAAGAACTCATTGCATTAAACTATTCTTCAGGTTCAAAGCCATTTTAATATTGACGACATCTACGTAACGCTGTTCTTTGCCTCGATCCCTGAATAAGTGAAATTTAATATGTTCTTATTCACTAACAGAAACCTTGAACTTCAAAGAAATGGTTTATTGACGGAGTGTATCAATTGTTTTTCTTCTTCGTTATTACTATGGCACATATATCTAAGAGAATATTATATGTCCATCTAAATGAGCGCATGCCACTTGTTCTTTTTATTTTCACAGCTATTTTTCTATCCTTCATCATTATTATTATTATATTATCCTTGATCATATCAGTGACACTATCATATTTAGTGCCAAAATATTGTTTTCTTTTATCTATAATCCTCTGTTTTTATCTCTCTCCCACTTTTCCTCACTCTTTATTAAGTATTGATTGCTCACTATGCTATGCATCAAGCTCACCCCTTAAGGCATATGTACATGACCTTCACTTTTTTTTCTGTTTCTGCTGTTTACACAGATAATTATCATTTCTTCGTGATTGATTTTTTCCGTATTTCTCAGGAGTATGTCCTTCTCATATTAATCCTAATTAAATCTGATTAATATACGTGTCACAAATCAGCCAATAAACATTATTAATAAAAGTAATTAATACATAATTTTTAACCATCTCTTCATTGTTGTCTTCCATTCTATGCATATATTTAAATCTGTAGTCAGATCATTTATAGATATAATCACTTCTTTTTGTGAAGGATTAATAAATATTTATAGAAGAATTATAATATTTTCTTTAGATGTATATCAACATATTGTTTTTAATTATAATATTTTTTCCATATATTGTGCATTTATGTAATCATGAATTAATTGAAATTAGTGGTACTATTGCATTTTTATCATATACTAATAATATGGAATGTACATGGACATTTAATTTATCATCTATATCAAATAAGATTCATTCTCGTAATCTTTTATTAACATTTCGTCATTTTGATACTGAATTTGGACATGACGAATTATTTATTGGCGAAACTATACCTAATGTATCAAAATATAATTCGAAATTATTTCGTTTTTCAGGTTCAAAATTACCTGATCCTTGTTTAATTCCACTACGTGGTGATATTTTAAGACGATCTATATGGATTCAATTTCTTAGTGATCAAACTAATACCGGTTCAGGTTTTATTATTGATTATAAATTTCTAGTCAATCAATGTAAGATTTCTTATTAAAATCTTATAAAAACTGATTATTCATCTCGATCTCTAACATAGCTTGCTGACAAAACTAACAAAGCCTTTAAAGTTTCTTTTCATTTTCTTTTATGTATGTCTATGTAAAAAAAAAAAGAAAAGAAAGTGGAGACACATACAATGAACAAGAAATAAGATGACCTTTAAAGGGCAATGCACATGCCTCGATTTTAATTTTATAGTTTACAGAAAGCACCCTATGAAACTGCAATTTTTTCTAAATCCAAAACCTAGTCGACAAAAATATGGATCAGAAGCTTTCGAAACCACTTCAAATATTATCTTTACAACTAACTCATAGTATTAGTTCAATGCATTAAATCTTTAGTTCAAAATTGCATGTAAGAAATATTGGCTAGAAGAATTTCGACTAACGAATATATTTATCTTTCTTTACAAATAAATAGAAAACTGTTCTTAGGATTAAAATGTAAATTGGTAGACATAGTACATTACTAAGTACAAGCAATCGATTCAATTGTAACTTGACATTTACAATGACATTTTGAATACAAATCTCAATAATCTGTTTCACATTATGCTCAGCATGAAATAATTAGAAATCATATAAATTTTTGACATTCTTTGAATCATTAATAAACGATATGAAAATTAGATTGTTTTAAAAAAAAATATTTCTTAACAAAAAAAGAACCGTTTTAAGTCTCCAATTAAGATGACTATAGGGAAGAACTCTTACAGTAAAATAATATTTTCAAAAATATTAGGATTTTTAAAATATAGATACTCTTCAAATATATGACTCTACTGGAGAATTAAGGTTTTACAGGAAACGTCTACTAAAACTTTGATACTTCAGCTAAATAGTAACTTGCGCGAATATTCTCTTAGGGCTTTTGCAGTCTATTGGTCCTCTAAGAAATGCACAAATCATGATTCCCAAAGCTTGTCAGTACATCACGAAGAGATTTCTGCAGATGTCAGATAGCTTTTAGACCGATATGTTGTTCTTTTGATAAATACTAATGAATAACAGACAAGTCTAGAATAATTTTCTTTCTCAGGCCTGCGTTCTTGAGATATCAAAATTTTACTGGATTTTTCAACAGAAAGCTATGGTCACGTCTAAAACCGACTTTTGGTTTCAAACTTTGTTCACACAAAGCTCTCAATGAAATTAGTTTACCGGGCAATATACAGCTTTTCTAATATTTGCTATCCTGAGATATTTAATATGCAAAATTCTGTCCCGTGTAAAAGCTAACTTTGTTCATTTATTTACGTCTCCACATAGGATAATCTAGAACTGCTTAAACTTCTAAAATCCATTAACCTTATTAAGAACTTTGTTGTGTACAAAATTGGAAGTCAAAAGTTACTTTTGCACGTGACCACAGCTTTCTATTGAAAAATCCGGTGCAGATTCGATATGGCATGAACGAAGGTCCGGAAAAATTAAACAATTCTAGGCTTTTCTGTTACTAACTAGCATTCATCACACTAACATCGCCTCAGTTGAACCGTAGTTGGACATTTAGAGAGGTTCTCTCGCTAGTCTAATTTCTATCTATTCATAACTTAAGCATTTTTAAATGTTAGATGTTTGATAATTTAAAATGTTCTCGAAAAGATTCTTTCTTTTGTAGCTACATCTGTAAAATTAAAACCTCAGGAAGTTCTAATTGATGCAGAAATTCTTCATCCATTAGAAAATAAATCCCAACATTCTAAACTAACTTATACATATCCATACGGAACTATTTCAAGTCCAAATTATCCACAAAATTATCCAAATAATATCGTAAGAAAAGAACTTTAAATGACCTATAAATTCAATTGATTCTTAGATATGCCGTTGGCATTTATATCATCGAAATGCATTTATACGTTTATATATTAATGAATTTCATACTGAATTACATTATGATACATTAACATTGCATCTTGGTCAAAATTTAAATAATCGTGCTATGATTTTATATGAATGGTCAGGTTATGATATTGATAATAAACATTTATTTATTCGAAATGATAATTTATTTCTTATATTCAATACTGATAAATCCTATAGTGCAGCTGGTTTTTCTCTTCAATATCAAATTATTGAAAAAGGTAAAATATCTAACTTTTTCTTTAGATTAAAATCTTACTTTTGTGAAATACAATCTAAAAGAAGTGTTGAAGATTACACCAACAGATGAGCTTCTCGACATTTGAGCCTGACATTAAGGAACAAATTAAAGAAATGCAAGACAATAATTTTATTTGAATAAGTTCACATTTCGCCATTCAACGTTGAACGGAGCTCTTTCTAGTTTAAAATATAAGTCGCTTGTTATAAAATGAAAAGTCGAAATCAGTAGTAGTAATTTTATATTTAACAGGTTTCTTTAGTTTTACAAGTCCTGTTTGCAATCATTCAGTCATTACCAAATCTTTGATAAATTCTTAAGTTGATGAATTCTCTCATGGTGAATTCTAAACTCAAATAGATGACCTATTGCATTGAGAAAAACGCATAACAAATCAACACTACTTTAATAGCTCAAATCCAATCTTCAGAAGCATGTGGAAGTCAGTGTGAATCAAGAGAAGATGTACTATCCACGCTCAAAACCTAAGAAATTTATTAAATATAAACTTCCTGATGCAAAATTACAACAACTGATTGCAATATTTCATTTGATAACAAGAGACATACTTTAGCAGAGCAAGAGCTCTGTTTGATTTTGAATGAGTGAATGTGAACTTACTCAAATAAAAATATTTTCTTGTATTTCAATTTATTGCGTATGTCGGACCCATCTGTCATGTTACCGTGCTGAAGTATAACCTTAGAAATTTGTTCTCTTCCCTCTCCTGACAGATCTTACAGACTGTAATTAAACCTCGTGGAGATACAGTATGATCATAGACGGTATATGAGATAGAGATGCACCCATTCCAAATTCGAACTAATGAAGTAACACTTATTTAGCTGTTTTCAGCAGTATTTGCTTCTTTTTCAAGTCGATTTGCTTACATCAGCTTAATTCTATAGAAATACGGATACGTATCGATGATTTTCTTGTCCGTTTACTGATTTCATACTGATACATGCCTCAATGGGTACTAGTTATCATACAAAACATGGTCTTCTCTCTACAGAAGCGAAAAGTTACCGTTATCAGATAACGATCTCACAAAAAGTTTTGTATATTTGATTTTTTTCACTACCAATTACAGCTTGAATCTCTTGATTCTGAGTACCTTTTTGCTCAAACTATAAATTTTTCGTTACTCATTACTTGCTGACGGTAAGTTTCAGTTCCTATGAAGAAAGGAGTATGTTGTGTATGATAGCTAGTAGCTATTTAGGCATACACTAGTATGAAATCAGTAAGCAAGAAAAAGATCATCGATACTAACCATTATTTTTTGAGCATTAAGCTGATCTAATTAAACTGAATTGGAAAAGAATCAAATGCTGCTAAGTCAACTAAATAAGTAACAGTTAATTAGTCATCCGGTTACTGAAACTAGTGCATCCCTGAAATGAACAACTTACTAATTGTATCTATAGAGGATTTAGTAAACGAAATGTGTTTCAAATAGGTAGAATAAAACAATCTCCTGTGAGTAACAACAGTAGCTATATCTTTTTTCATATTTTAATCCTACAGGTATTGTACTCACAGTTTCTTTTTTTATTATTAGAAATGTATACTTGGGATTTATATGAAAACAATGGAACAATTCATTCAAAAGATTATCCAAAACTTTTACGAACAAATATTGAATATACATGGATTATTCATATGAATTCTTCAAATGAAATTGAAATAAATCTAATTGATATAAGTCTTGATCATGATTATGATTATTTACAAATTATAACAGGTAAATAAAAATAAAAATGACTCTTATTCCAAAAATTGTTTCTCTTTTTTTGTAATTTAAGGAGATATTATTTATTCATTAAATACGCCAAAATCTTTTCGATTTGAAACAACCAATGAAACAAAATTAATTCTTCGAACAAAACATTCTAATGATGAGTATCAATATCGTGGTTTTAATTTGACATATCAAAGTATGTATATAAAAATAAATATTAAATGTAACAATATTTTAATTATTATTTCAAGTTAGAATTAAATAAAACTCGTTCTGAAGAAAGTAATTATTTAAAAAATTTACCTTGTGGAAAAACATATTCATCATATAATGGAACAATTGAATTTCAATTTGAAAGTCTTACTTCTTTTGATTGTTTAATATTAATTGAAGTTGATGATGGACAAAATATTTTTTTACGTTTTGATTATTTAAATTGGGATACTAAAGAAAATTATATTGATATTGGTCTTTTTCATGATCCTAATGAAAATCAACTTTATCATATATCAGGTTAAATTTATTTTAAAAAGCTTTGTTTTTTCTTCATAATAAAAAGAATATCTTTATAGATACAGTACCAGGTACTTGGTTTATTGCAAATGAAAGTCAAATATGGATACGATTTTATTCAAGTCAATTTTCATTAGGAATATCTACATTTCGTTTATTTTATTCTGAAACAATTCAATGTAAAATTTTCGAAAGAAAAAAAATATTCATTGAATGAAATTATTTCTTTCTAGGGTCAACTATTTCATCAGAACCACGTACACAAATCTTAGATGATAATAGATTATTTCCTTATCGATTAATTAGTTTACCAACAAAAAGTATTTACCATAATTTAACACAAGTAAGAAGTTTAAAAAAAATGAATTTATCTATGTAAAAAGTCCTGGATAAAAGTAATCATTTCACTATACAATGCAACTACACTTAAAAAAGGATTGTCTCCGAAACCTATTTTGACCGATTTCCTCAGAGAAAATCTCTTGTTTTAGATAATGCTTTATTATGAATAAAACCCGTGACGCGTAAGCAAGACCTCAGTAATCAGAATGTTCTGAGATAATAAAGCTATGTCGTAATGCGAACTCGACTTCTTAGACTTGTTGTTTGATGGCAACTTTCTATTGGAATTCTGAAAAGTGATGATCTTTCAAATGAGAGGTTAGCCGAAAAAACTTGTGCTGACGTAGTAGAAGTAAGGTGACTAAAAGAGGAAGATGATGTTTGAATCATAGCTTTGGTACATGTGAACCACTGGAAAGTGTGTTGGTGCTTGCAATCAGTGTTTATTGTCGCATGCATGCACTCAAAAGATTCGTTCAATATGATAAAGCATAGTAGCACTTCAATGGGCGACAGTGACTGTTGTCTAGGACTTTATAAATATATTTGTTTTTCTTCTAAAGGCTTATATTTGGCATATCAAAGCATTAGATGATGAATGTATTAAGATTACTTTTCAATCTTTTGAAGTTACTGAAGATCGACGGTTATGTTTTTATGTGAAAGATTTATTCAAAACAACACAAATATGTAATGATGAACAGTTACCATTTGTATATCATCATATTGGATCATGTATAATATCTATTGAACCGGAATTTCGTTGGATATTAGTTAAATATAATATTCAAATTGAAAAGTTTAAAAAAAGTAAATATAAGATATTTTTAATATTTAATATATCATCTATCTACCTTGATTGATGAAGATCTTCCGAAAATTATCTAATAAGGAGAAAAAAATGAACGGCGATTCGATAGATAATAAGCAAAGAAATGGTCTTTGGAACTCAAACATCGAATCTAGTTGAACTGATTTTTTGTTCGAAAGTGTAAAGTCTGAAGATTAAAGCAACCTAGTATAATAAAAATTTATACTTTTTGTGTGTCTTGATAAAATCTCAATACGAAGCAATGATTAGAAAATCTTTGCCACTTGATTTTTCTGTATTTTCAATTGATGAGTGAGTCATATGATCTGTTTCAAAATTCAAATCAAACATAAATACGAACACAGCTTTGTAGGATGAATGAAAAAATTTTTCGAAATCCAATGTTTTTTTCTACTCTATCGAACAGTGTATTTTGTTTACAGCTTGAATACTTTAAATTAGTATTAATCATCCACTACGTATTTTTAAGTGTTACAAAGTTTGTTTGAGATCAGTCTAAAGTATTATATATATACTCCACCCTTCGCTCTATGTTTCATTACTGAGAAGTAAATATCCATATTTTTACTGAAAACTTTTGTGACATCTATTTGTTTAATATATGGCTTTGTCTATTTTAAAACTTCTTGAAATTTTCTTGAGTTTGCTCTTTATCTATATGAAGCAAATTAAGAAAGCTCATTCTATAATAATTGACTTATTTGGTATTGTAAATGACACGTACATCAGTGTTAGGATTAATAAATCTGGTGCAAGGGGGGAAAAGCGAGACTCTCGTACACCGGAGTACAGATGGAGTACAGTGGAGTCTACCTGGAATACGAGAAGTACATACTCACTAGACTTCAGCTAGACTCCACTGTACTCCACCCGTAGTTCAGCTGTACTTCAACTTTGGAGTCTCGCTTTTCCCCCCTTGATCTGGTGGCATTAGAACATCTACATTGGAATATCAATTCAACTAAACATATTTTGAGAATTGATTTCATGAAACAAAACTTATGTAATAAAAAATCGATTCTTACTATAATCTATTCATCTTTCAGTGAAAACTTAAAATCCATTCTTTCAAATTTATAAAAAAACAAACTATTGCTACGATAGTTCTATATAACGACGTTGAAGTCTAGGATTTTCTTTTTTGAATACTTCATTTAATATTATATCGAAATTTCTTAATATATTATTGCTTCTTTTCAATAGTTAAAAAGATTAATAAAGTAATTTTCAATGACAATCATATAGTATTAACACCACCAATGACAATGCATCCATTTATTCATATTGAATGGTTGATATCTATCGATAATAGTTCGAGAATTATTGTTGATATTACAAATTTCGATAGAAATACATCAGCTGAATTAATTATTCGTCAAGGTAAAATTTTATCGACAAGTAATAAAATTCAAAACTAATTATGAAAGTTTTTCTAGATAAAAATATCACAAAAACATATTTATTAGAAAAAATATCATTAACTCGTTTTTGTGATGTATTATTTTCTTTAAAATCTTCATTTCAAATTATTTATAAATCATTATCATTACCAATTCATAATCAAAAACGATCATTTCGTCTTGATCTATATAAAATATCAGAAACATATTTTCATATGAAAGATTTTCATTATATTTCATGGAAACAAAATCAATCGGTAAAAAAATTTTTTTCTAATTCCAAATTTTGTTTTCTTTTTTTGTTTTGGTTCATAGCATTTTAAATGGACTATTGATGGACAATATAACAATTCAATATTTTTAGCAAATTTATTTTCTTCTAATAATAATTTATTACTTGAAACAACAGCAAATATTAATCTCACCATGACTAATTCATCAATATATATTCCTAGTTCAAATTTTGATATTCGTTATAAATTACATAACCAATCGATTGATTCAGATTTTATTCTAATTCTTTATGAACAGCAAGAAAAAAAATCTAATCAAAATATTATCTTAAATAAAACTTCAGATATACTTGAAACAAACAATTATGCTTCTTATAATATTTACATACGATCAGAGGCTTTTCATTTAATTGATTTTATCATAATTAATGCAGATAATGGTACACTTATTCGTTTGTATGATTTAAGTAAGTAAAAACTTTTCATGTAATTCATTTTGATATAGAGCATCCGATTTTTCATAACTATTAAATACTTCATTCTCCACAGTGTACATCTAAGCGAACATTTAACTTAAAAGTAAAAACCGCGTTTTTCCAGAGATTTAAATATACGAAAATATATTCTATATAATGGCATGAATAACTTTTTACAATCCTTAGCGAGACTAAAAAACTAATTGCTCGAAAATTAGTCTGAAAATAGTAATGTCCTTAGGAAAATTGATGTCTGACAAAATTACACTGATCAACAGGCACATCAAGTATATTTTTTGTTTATTTTGCAGATTTAACTTCTCAGAAAGGCATTTTTCGTCAATAACCTTTTCTCCCTCACAAGTGTTTTTTTTCCTAAAAATGCTTTTCTTCGTCACATCGTATTCTTTCTAAGCAACTAAATCTGTTTCTGAGCAAGAAAGCTACATGGTTGACTGCCATACGAGAAATGCACACTGTACAACCTTCTTCGAATACTGTTAATTCTGCAAAAAAACAGATACATTTCTAAACAAAAACCATAGGAACACTCATTCTAGGCTGTACTTTTCTGTAACTCACATATCGTTTGGAAGAAAATATTCAGTGTTAGTTTTAAGATGAAGTTTTGCGAAATAGATTATACTTGTAGCAGTATATATATATAACAATCGAGCAAACACTACAATAATCACTTTGCATAAATAAATAAAATAAAAAAGTTTACTTTTTTTTCAAATGTGTAGCTTCTTCAAGGCTATGCACAATGCACGCATAATATCTCGATCCGATGCATTACTACTTCAAGTAGCTAATTTCTATGTATGAGTCAAAAATGGTTCAACGGGAGGTAAAGAGTTAATAATGTACGAAGAGAAGACATATGTATAAAAGTAAACAATACTCAAATCAAAGATAAAAATGTGAATCCCCTTCAGATTTAATTAAGCCTTGAAAGTGAAGGATATTAGAAATTTAATGAATCGTTCTATTATTGACCTTAATAGAGAACTATTATAAACTGAATATCAAGATAAGAAAAATTGATCATGCATGCTTTAGATGAACTAAACAGTGATATGAATACTGCTCCTATGACATTGAGAGAGTTAATTATAAGATTGAAAGATAAAGAAAGCATAAAAATGATGACTGTATCTATAACTTATTTCTGTATAGTTTTAATTGTTTATTTTGATTTATAGGAATTCTAGCAAAGTATTGTAAATAATCATGAAATTTCTGTATTCTTTTCTTTGAATTTCTTATATTTTTATTTTAGTCCATTGTAGATACCTATAGCTACTATCATAATAACCGAACAAATCAATGATGTAAGATTTTACAAGGATATATTGTATTAAATTATACGATGAACTAGAAAATGTCACACTTCATTGTATAATGTAAAATACATTCTGCTAAAAAATTAATTTAATTGTGTAACAAATTTTTTTGAAAAATCATTTGCTCAAATAGATTGTTTTGATTCTAATCGTGAATATGTTTTAAATTTTTTAATTATATAATTCGAAGAAAATTTATCTTTATTTACTTTCTAAAACAGTGTTGCTAACTGCATTAATACATAATGTTCGATTGAAATAAGTATAAGCTATGCAATATTGCTCCAAATTGTTTGTTCATACAATTAGATTGTCTATATATGAACTTCACTAGAATAAATACATTTTGTTTCAAGGTGTCTTTGTTTCTTCTATTTCTGTTATTTGAATGAACTACTTAAGATATAAAAAAATATTTATTCTATTTTAAAATTTATGCTATACATGTAAAATATTTCTATTTTGCAAAAAAAGAATATAATGAATAATCTGATAACGAAAAGAATATTTTTTATAATTACGATTTGAAACAATTAAAATTATGATTATTATCAATCAAACTCACTAACGAAAATGTCAAGATTTTCTCTTTGTTTTTTTCTGTTTCGTTTTATATATTCTCTTTCGATTAACGAAGAATCTATACAGTTCATGGTTTTTTTAAAAGGCTTTCAATTGATCCATCTAGAGTTGTTGAAAAGAAAGTACACATCCTCATGTGCATAAGGGTATATACCAGCGGCACTTTTTGGTTTTTTTCTTTCTTGTTTGCATATGTTAAGTTAATGACGATACTTCGTGTATTCTGATTAAAGGTATTAGAGTTGGAGATTCTTTTTTTCTCTCTCTCTCTTTCCCCCTTTTTCTCGCTTTCTCCTGTCATTACGATTCATGATGTTTCAATAGTAAAAAGTAACGTGTCAATACTCTCACTTCTCTTCTCATCAATCGTACAAGGAACAGAAAGAAAAAAAAACGATAATTATACTCTTTTGTCCATCTGTCGAGACAGTTAAAAGTGAAAGAGAAGTAAAATGCATTTCTAATATAGTCGATTTATTGCTCATTTAATGACCATTGAATATTTATTTATAGTCATTTATGTTTTTTTTGTTTTTTATTTTCAGACGTCAATCATAGTGAATATTTTTTATTGAATTCATCTTTGAGAATATCCAAAGGATTATTATCTCTTATTGGTTTACGTTTTTCAATTAAAAGTTTGAAAATTAAAATCGAATTAGAATCATTAACAAACAATCCAATAAAATTACGTTATAAAATTCGAACAAAATCAATTCAAAATGAAAATTTTAGTAAGTAAATATAAAATAAAATAAAATAGTTACATAAAAATTAAAATTTTCATTATTTGTTTTTTTTCTTTGCTCAGATCATTGTTTCATAATCGATACAAACGCATATAAAAATAATAAAAGTCAAACGTATAATGAATCATGTGTGAGTATTTTATCGTTTTATGATATTACAAGTTTCTTTCTTCTTTTTTGTACATATATTTTAGTCCAACTGGTTTAATCATCTATCAACGCCAATGAATAACACGAGGATCAATCATCTGTGGCCATATGCGTTTCGCGGTAGCGTAACATTGATTATTGAAAATACGACAATTGAAAATTTTGAAAAAGCAATTTATCGTAATTTACGTCAAAGTATAGCAAAAGTTATACGTAAATTTTGTTTAAAATATCAAGAACATTGTTTAAGTGAAGATACAGATTCGATTAGGTATTTTTCTAATTAATTTCTCAATTGAAATTTTTTCGTTTTTAACCGTAGAACTGATCATGTTATTATACAAAGTTATGAAGAACAATTAGATAATCATCATTTATATGTATCAATATTTATTAAAGATCCGTATCGTCAAACAGTAGCTCTAACAAATGATCAATTTTTACTTGCACTTAAAGATAATCAACAAGAAATTTATGAAGATATACAACATCATGTATAATTAATTCAAACATCGATTAAAAAAAAAAGAAAATACCTTAAATTTATTCTTTATTATTTTAGATTAATTTACCATCAAATATTTTAGAACAAAATTCATTAGATTCAATTTGGTTATACGGTGTTTGTTTACTTGCTTTAATTGTGCTTATCGTTGTTGTTCTTATGTTAATTACTATTTTTATGAGAAGAACGTAAGTGTTTCTTTTCTTCTTCTTTTTCTAAAAGGTCATAATGATTTGAACATATGTTGGTTAATTATAAATGTTATTTTTTAATTATCTTTCCATAATTAATATTCATACAAATGATGATAAAGCTCATTTTTCATTTTTCATTTTTCTCAACATATTTGATGCAAAAACTTGTTCATATTTTAGCTCTCAATCAACAAAGAAGATAACTAAAAATAAACGTATAAAAAAATCTACAAAAAATATTTCAACTAAAAACGATGATAGGTAAATTAAAATAAATATTTTTCAAAAAAAATTAAAAAATTTTCCTTTGATTTTAGTTTTCTAATTTCATATCCTATACAACAAATAGCTAATGAAGATGATGAACAGAATTTATCTTTACCTAACAATGAAGCAGTTAGTTCACAAATATTAAATACAAATCTTATAGGAAATTTATCTCCACCAACAACACCTTATTATCATTGTCCAACAAGTCATACATCATATTTTAATAGTAATATTGAAACAATTATGAAAGAACGTCTTCATGATGATGAACCAATACCATTTATTGATGATAATCTTTCTGTTACACATAGTAGAAAGAGTAGTGTTGGTTGGAGTGATAAAACAAGTTTAAGTAGTCGATTTAGTTTAGCATGGAAATTAAATAGAATGCGTTCAGCATCACAAAATCGTTCCATATTATCAAATGAAAAAGAAAAACGACGATATCATCATCGAACTATTCGATACACACAACCGTCGACATCACAAGAAAGTTAATTTTGTGATTCATTGTAAATTTTGATATGATTTTTTTAAAAATACATATACAGAATACAATTCTTCTGATGACAAATAAATATATACATTTTTCTTTTCATAACAAAAAATAATGAATTATTCGATATACTATTTGAAACAAAAATAGTCAATGATTTTGAAATTTCTTATTAATTTTTTTTAATTTGAAGTTACTTTTATTTAAATATATAGGAATTTAATCATGACATTTTTCATATTGTTTTTCAATTATTTTGAAACATAAGATTGAATTTTCATGAAATTCTATAAATAATTCCCTGTAATAGAAGACCCCGGAAGTTTTTCAAAAAACAACCAAAAAAAAGATTTGGAGATTTTAGAAAGATATTTTTTTAGAGTTTTAAAAGGCTAGAAATGATATTGACTTCAGTTTTGTATAGTTTTTTAGCTCAAAGTCTAGAAAACTAAGCAAATTATGATATAAATACAATAATTAAAGTTCTAATTGTCAGATTAATTATTTAATTTACGAGATTCTTCTATTACAGAAAGAGACTTTACAGTAAAATGATATCTTTGACTTTGCAAACTTTGAGAACTAAATTGTATTAATATAAGTGTAAATGCGTAAAAATAATTTATAAATTGTGACGATTTGCATTATTAACTCGGCAAGAAAATCTTATTCAATTATGCAATTCAATTACGTAAACGAACACATTTTTTTACTATATCACTCGATCATACAAAAACCTTCGACAATAATTATAAACCACTATAAAATAGAATATACATCTATTCATACCATAATTACGATCTAATTTAATTTAATAAATTTTTAATATAGATCAGCAATTCTAAGAAGTTCATCAATCGCAACCTAAACTTTCTTCTATGTCAAATTTTTCATCTATTACATCATTAATAAAATATACCAAAAAAAAAAAAATCAAATGAATTGAAAAAGATTTCATTCATTATTGTCAAAATTTAATAAACATATTCTTATTTGGTAGTATTAATTTGCATACACACATGCACATACATCAAGATACAAATATTCGAGAGGAAGGAAAATGCGCGTATGTATTTCGTCGAGAAAAAGAAACAAGCAAAATATTAAAAATTGAGTATGATTACACCATACAATAAGAAAAAAAAGAAGAAATGAACTTCAAAAAAGAAAAAATCATGAAGGATATGAATGCAAATAATAGGAAAAAAGACAAAAACGCTCAAACAGCAACGTTGTTGTTGTTTTAATATGTCTCATCATCACCACCGACAAAAGCAGAACCATTACCATTATTAACAGTAAGACCGTCTCCATTATCGAAATCACCATTAGCATTTTCTTGATCAGGTTGCGCAAAACCTTCCTAAAATTAATAAATAATCTTGTTAATAAATAGTTTTTTATTTAATTTCATTTATAGAAAACAATGCAAAGCAGAGAAGTAACGAATACCGAAAAAAAACACACGCACACAAACAAACATGTATATCAACACACCCCTCTTTTTTTTTTCTTAAAATTCTTGTTGGACATTTTGTTGATGTTCGTTTTCATCAGGGATCTCAAAACCTTCCTTTAAATATATATATTGATAATTTAAGATTCATATATATATATATTTGATCAAAAAAAACAAATGTAATTAATTCAAATATTCTTCTACATACCTCCGTAGCATAAAGTATTTCAAGAACTTTTTGTATTGGTTGCGATGATTCATATTCTGGTTCTTGACAGATCATTTCAACATCACGTAATTTTTGATAATAAAAATCACGTTCTTTTTCTAAACCAGCTATTTGAGAAGCATGTTGTTGAATAAGATCTTGTAAATGATCAATCTAGTCAAAATTATATTTTAGATTAATTCTATTAAATAAAAATTTTACTTCTTGTTGTAATCGTGCATTTTGATGATGATGATCACTACCAGCTGTAGGTTGATGTACTCGTGTATTTTGATGATGATCATTAGCAACTGGAGGTTGTTGTACGGGTGGTGCTGGTGCTCGATGAGCAGCAGGAGAAATTTTTGGCTGTTGTTGTTGAATGGGTTTTGCTAAAATAACGAAAAAATTTTTTTTCATTAGTCACAAAAAGCCTCACTACCGAGTAAAAAGTATATCTACTTCAATTCTTCTGTCTGATAATTGGTCTACAAATAGAGCTCAATAAATTCGGATTGTCAGAATCAATCTAAGATTGATAAACTCTTAAGGATACTCTCCTTTATGTTGAATCATTTCTGTTTTTCGACAAGAGTATATCAGATTGGACTTAGATTTTTATCATCGCTAAGTTATGAAAAATGATATAACAAAACCTCCAGAAAAAAATTTTAAAAGCTGATCTTCAAAAGCCATCGGGTCTGCCTACGACCCCGGTCTTACTTAGTCCTATTGGATTGAACGTTCCTAGGTTTTTTTAATTAAACATAGAAAAATTGATATTTTTTAAAAAGCTTAAAAACATCTCTGATACTTTGTTCTATATACCTCTAGAAAAGATTTCTGTCCAATTGAACAAAGTAAGGACATGCTCGTGAGCAAACGAGATAGTTTTTGAAGATTTGCTCTTAAAATGTTTTTCTCGAACATTAATTTCATCATTTTTGATAATCTAGCAGTAGTGAAAATTTGAGTGCAACCTATAGTAATCTCACAAAGAACCAGAAATAGTCTAAAACGGAAGACAGTATCCTTAATGTAAAGGATGTACGATGTTTGTTTTACTCTCACCGATGGCTATGATCGTGAAATTTTCAGAGAAAGTTTGATTAGAGTATGACACTCATTGGAAAAAGTTGCAAGACTAATGATTAAAATTCGTTTCAAGATATTTGTCAATTTTTGACGATTGCCATCAATTCCTATGTCGAGTTTATCCAAGCTTACTGCATTTAACGTCATGAAATTTATTTTTTATGTTCACTCTCTAGCTTCTCCATATAGAGATCAATCAACTTTTGATGAGTTCTTCTCATTAGAGTTCAAAATACTCTACTTATGATCAAACTATGAAACTAATGAATTAAAATTTAGGTAACTTTTTTTGCGACTATTGTATGAGATGAGACAAGAACTAATTTATTTGAATTTATAAATGATTAAATTTTTCATTTGGTTGTTTTGAATAAACACTCACTTGTAGTTGTTGGTCGTGCTATTGGTGGAGCAACAGTCTTTGTTGGTGGTGGTCGAGCAGCAACAGCAGGTGGTGCACGAGTGCCTGACGAACCACTTGTTGCACCTGGACCGAGAGCTTTCGTACCACTACCTAATGGTCTAAATAAGAGAAGTAAAGTTATATTTCTATCAAATCTGATATACAAAAGAATCTTTTTAACTTACAGTCCATCACGAGCAGCTACAGGATCATAATCATGAGGATCTGTGTAATTCGCATCAAAGAATTTTTTAAACCATTGAACAAATTCAAAATTATCCTGAAATTTTCCTTTAACCAATTTTTCGACAGGTACAATCTACATAAAAATTATCATTTGTTTTGTTTTTTAAATTTAAACCAAAGAAAAAAAAGAAAATTATCTAACACAAACACATATATACACAGAATCTCTCTTCTTTATTTGTTTTTCTTTTCTTATGCACACCTTATCTACTTGTACAGCACGAAATGCATTTTGTAAAATTTTAAAATTTTGTATATTTTCATGTTCTAATTTGGCATTGAATTTCACTCTTTTTAATTGTAATGAACCTATAAGAAAAAATTTAAATACTTCTTTTTTTTTCTAAACTAAAACTATGAGCAAAGCATCAATCACCAAAAAAAAAGAGAGATCAAATATATGTATGCGTATGTGTGTATTATATCTACAAAAACAAAAAATTAAATTCTACCTTGTCTACGGAAAGTGCTTTAAAATATTCTTGTAAAACTTTAAAATTATTAATATATTCATGCTCAAGTTTGGTATTCCATTTGACCCGTTTTGATCGTGCACCTATAGAGCCTAGAAAAAAAATATTATGTAAGTATTCACTAATTGTTAGATCTAATACATGCATATAATAAATAAATTTACCTGGAAACATCATTTCCATAAATTGACAATATGCAGCACCTAATCAAGTAAATTATTCGATTTAGTTTAATACGAAAAAAAAAAACGTCTAAATTAAATTACCGGTACAAAGATCTTCAATTTTTGTATAATTAGCATCAAGTGCTGAATTTATCCATTGTAGAATATCATTACGACTAAGATTGTCTGTTGTTACACTTGTATGATATACATTAATTGCAGCCATCTACAATAAATGATTGATATATGCTTAACTCATCTCTTCGCGAATGAAATATATTGTATGATCAAAAAGATATATACATGCTGACATGTCTCTTTCTTTTTTTTCTCGCTCTTTCTCTCTCAATGAATGTCTACGGATGATAAGATCATATTGAACGTATATACATATCTATACATGTCTATACATGTCAAAATGATTTCAATGAATATTCATCGATTTAATATAGAAAGAAAAAAAAACAGTATCATTGAATGCATTGATATGATGTAACAAAAAGAAAAACTTGATTATTCGTAATTATATGAATATGAATAATGTTTTTGAACGTCAATAGCGACCCAAACAAAAAAAACATTATCATGTGATAAACAAAATAGTTAAGACAAACATATTTAGTATTGAATCATTCATATATTTGTTACATTTCTTTTTTTTTTCTTTGTTTATTGGAGAAAATATTTTTTATAAAAAAACACAGACGAAAGAGGGAGCTACAAGACAATAAGAAAGAGCTACCTTGTTTTTTTTTTATATCAATACCTATTATTCAAAACTACTTTATTTTTGGATACATTGAAATAACATAATGAATGATTAATTTTATTAGTTATGAGTAATAAGGGAAAAATATCTATAACAGATGCTTATAAATTGTTGATGTGTTAATGATGTAATTCATTATGAAAATGATATGTATGGTTGATTAAACGGGTGAAATATATGACGTAACCCTATCATCTAGTTTTATTGCATATTAATTGAATTTTAATATAGAAAAAAAAAAGTAAATATTTGATTTGATCAGATTTATCATTTGGAATGTATTTAAATGAGATTTTATGTAAAATGCGAACAAAATTTATTAAACGACATATAATAAAATTAGAATATATTGAAATTTTTTCAAGGAACATTAGTTTTAAAATGTCTTTCTTAATTAGTTATTAAATGAATTCTAGACTAAAAATGATTGAGAACATTTAATTGTCGAATTCAAATACTCATTATGACAAATTCATTGATCAATTAGTTGTAGTATCACACGAGATGTTATCATTAAATTTCTTTATAAATGTATGTCTAGATTGAAATCTTCTCTTTTTTTTTGTATATTAGATATCATTATCTATCATGCATTTCAACTTTCATCAATACTCTCTTTTTCTAAACTGTATTCTTTCAAAAGCAATCATATAGAACCTGTCCTGTCTATTGCCCCCAGTAAGCATTTTTTTATTTGTTTATTCAATAAAATAAAGTTTCAATTTGTGTTTTCTTTTTCTAGTCTAAAATAAAAACTTGAATTGAACATAATCATTGCAATAATTTCTGTCCGTTAGAAATTAATTTTTTTTTCTCTCTTGTTAAACCCCTTGTGAATAAGCTGAGCTCAGGTTCTCTACTACGAATATGTCACCAGAGCCTTTGGATACTTTATAGGTTTTTAGTATTTTACTATGAAATGCTGTAGAAACTAGACAGATACCTGTGTACTGACGAGGGAAGTCCTGCAAATGATCAGTTACTTTTTTTTCAGCGGAGACACTACACTTTTCAAGAACATCTGAAAAAAAAAGAATTCCGAATTTTGACTGAAAATTTTACATTGAAGACAGACCTTAATAAGAATAAATTTTTGTGAATATTTTAGATCTTGCCGCTGTTTTCTATAGTAAGATAATAGCTAGTCTTTTATATTGCTCATATGAAACGGTAGATTTTACGTTCTTATTTCAGAATAGAAGCAAATCAAAAGATCTGAACCTACTCTTGTTAATGTCTGTTTTTGTGTAAGGTTTCAAGTCGAAATTCGAAAATCAATTTTTCTCGTATTTCTGAGAAGAACCATGGTATTCGTTTAAAAAAATACTGCAAATGTGTAGCATCTCCGCAGTAATAATCCACAGGCGTAAATTCTTTTCAGCATATTCATAGCTCATTTGTGTCTACAAATATTCATTAGAGGATTTTCTTCATCTGAAAATTCTCCATCAAGTACTCAAACAAGATCTTGTGATATATCAGTAACAGATTGAGGCCTACGCAGAAAAACGGTTTTTTAATTCCGACTTCGAAAACTTTTCTTTCTATAAATTAGTGATAGCGTTTGCATGTTCAAAGATAATCAATCATTAAAAGTCTTTTATATCATGTCCAGTAAATGCTTCAAAGATTTCATTATATCATTAATCTAAAAATCAATTTTTCTCAAATGAAAAAATTTTATTATCTATTTTTTATTTTTACTGAAGTATTAAAAATAAGGCGAAATTATGTAAATATATACATTAGAATACAAAAAACTCTTTTTAGTACTTCAAATATCAATGTATGAAAGAAAAAAAGAAAAGCTATGTTTATTCTCGTGTAAAGTGACTATCGAATGCACTAAGAGCAATACTAAAAGCTTGAATAGCTGAAAGTGGATAACGATAGTCTAACAGAAATGTATCATCTGTAATACGACCAAATTGCATAACGACTTCTTCTTCAACTATATAAATACAAAAAAAAAATATAAATAGATTTACTAGAATATATAAATATCTAACTTACGATTTTCATTGTCTACAACCATTTGAAAATTTTTAACTGATGCTTGAATATTATGATGACTATCAAATTCAAGTACATGACCTTTTCTTCCTTGATGAATTAGATAGAAAAGAAAAATGATGAATTAAACGTTAAAATAAATAAAACAAAAAAAATATTTTATTTTACCATCAATCCGTTGTGGCGTTCGATTTCTTAATTGAATTAAATAAGTAAATCGTCTATCTCGCCATTGATCAAGAATTGTATCTTCATCCTGAGATTTATATGAGAAAATTTCTATTGTATAAAAAATTTTATATAATTTACTTTTGTTGGTCGAATATCATAGTCGATTTGAGGTATAACAGCATTGATTTGTCGTGGACCTTTGAAACCAAGAACATTCGTGCTCTAGAAAACAGAAATTAATTAGTCTTTTGTTATTACAATAGAATTTATAAAGAAACTGATTTAGGTTCTAAACTTAAATGAATAATAGTGTTTCATGTCAATAAAAGCTTCTACATGAAAATAAGTGATGAAGGATAAAAGAGATGCATAGAAATTACTTTGAAATATTATGATATGCACTGAAAATTTTCTAGATAGGATTCTTTTTGCATTATTGGGATAGTGAAGAATTTCTCTTTAGATAGTTAATATTCTTTCATTGCTACTCAAGTCAAAGTAAACATTTCATGCAGAAAACTATAGAGAAAATTTATTGAAGTTATTAAAGTCAGTTTGATTTTGGCGATTACTTTCGGTAAATTTTTATTCTGGCATATGAAAAAAGAATTATATAGCACTTCATATCTGTGCCAAGTCGAAAGTTGAACTTTCTCCTATAAAATATGAGTATATCTCACTTCCCCTTATACATTTATATGGTGCCGGATAGAAATTTACTTTAACTGTATTTTTAAGTTAAGTAGGATTGAAGGCTTCAGCATTAATGTTTGTATGAGGATCTGTGGAAAATCAAGACTTTTAAAACTGGCTTTCTAGTTTTCATTTGAAGCTTTTGAAAAAAAAGCTTTTATTTGATGGATTTGATAATTCTAAGCAGAATGAAACGTCTCAGAACATTTCATGATCCTTCTTCATCGAACTACATTTAATTTTTAGAATACTCCCAAGCGTCAAACATGGTAAAAACATTAAAATTTTTAATTGGAAAATGTGTCTGAGACTTTCTGTAAATTGAATGCAGTTCGATGACAGAAAATCATGAAGACATTGGAGAAGTCTCATTTTGCTCTATTAAATAAAATCTTTTCTCAAAAGCTTCAACGGAACGTCTGGAAGTTGGTTTTAGTTTTGTTGCAGTCATTGAATTTACGTCATTTCATACTTACGTAAATTATAGATATTAATTCACGTCGTAAACCATTTTTATCATTTGAATGTGATTTTTTATATTTACTCGGGCTCATACCATCATCATAGAGTGTATATTCTGTACCCTTCATATTAGTTTCTTGTAATCTTCCAACATATCCATCACCACCTGATTTTTCATGTAGAGTTTCAATTTGAGTTGTAATTATATATTGCGATTGTTGATTTACTTTAGGAACTTTTCGTGCAGCTAAGAGAAAAATCTTAAAAAAAAAAAGATTAACATAATGTGTTGTTTGCCTTCTCAACTTTAAATACAAACTTTTTTGTCATCATCAGGACGTTCCATATGTAAATAATATGTTGGAAAAAATTCTTTTTGTATGCCACTTTTATCACGTCGAAGATAACAATGAATAAATGTTGAATAATCTGGTGGAATATATGTATAAATGAATTTCTTTGAATCTTCTTCGACGCATAATATTGGATCAAAGCTTGGCATTGCAGTTAGAGGAACTAACTAAATATTTAATAAACACAAAGTATGTTCAAAAAAAATATCAAACTATTTATATGAATACAAGGAGTTTTAGAAATATTAATAGTTACCATTTTATTTTGGCCTTTTGATCGTAAGATTGAACGAGATGATGATAATGATGATCGTCTATTTAATAGTCCAGAGAAGAGTGGTTTATGAAATGATGTTGCTTTTTCAAGTAATGGAGCTGTTCTTTTTCCACCTAATTTACCTATGTTTAATACCATACTAATCAATACAATAATAAGACAACTTTTCGATCGTACCTTTAGGTTTGTTTTCATTTACTATCGGATGCCAATCGAGAATTTTCGGTTCACTTCGCCGTGCAAAAGCCTTAAAATTGAATACAAGATGAAACGAAAAAAAATATATATATTTTGAATTTACTATCGGTACTGATGGCTTTGATGAAAACGATGTATTCAAGTTATACTGATTATTAATTTCTTCTTCACTATCGGAACCGTCAATTCTTAAATAAACCAACAAAAACTAATCTTATTTTATTCTATTTTACGTAGAATTAAAGTGAACTTACTGCCAAGGATTTGCGATGATACTACGAGGCATGGTGAAAATTCAAATAAGTTACAATGAAAATGGCGACGATATTTGATTCAGTGGCTATTTCTCACCGTTTATCTACATTAATGAAAAGAAAGAAATAGAAGGAGTATATAATGTATTTTTTTTTTGTAGCATCAGAAATTTAATGTGCGTTATTGATTTCACTTAGTGAAAGTTTTAAACACATATTTTAATGGAAACTCATCATGCAAGGATGAAAAGCAAACAAACTATTACTATTTTTTCCGCCATCATTAAAAAAATCGATATTCAATCTTTTGTTTTGCTCTGGGTACTTTTAAATTTTACGTATTTTTTTTCTTTACCTTTTTCGATTTTGACGGTGTATGCCAAGGACGGCCGCTCAAGTAGTATAATGTTTACACAAACGCACCGTTTTTTTTCATTTAAACGCCTATTGTACTTTTAAATGTTTTTGATTGCGCACATATCGTTGTAAACAACAATATTTGATCAGCAACAAAAAAATGTATTTTATACAAAAAACAATGAAAAGAAAAATTTCTTTTACAATTTTCGATTTTTTTTTCTTTTAACGAAATAGCAATTTTTTTGGTACTAGTACAATTCGTCGCAATCAATTCGTCGCACGATCAATTCGTCGCACGACAATTCGTCGCACGATCAATTCGTCGCACGACAATTCGTCGCGATCAATTCGTCGCAAAACAGTTCGTTGCACATGTATTGTAGAGAATACATTGATTGAATTAAGTGATTTAGTTTAGAATGTTATCTAATTAATCGCCTAAACAAAAATTTTTCTTTAGTCTCTTTGGAGTCTTTTTCAGAATACAATGGTTTTTCAAAAATAGAATAGAGATATCAATTTAAAGCCTATTTTAAAATTTAATATAAAAAAATTAAAATTTGATTTTAAATAAAATTCTATGTAGATAAATGAAAAATACAACTCATTTTTTCCAATTGAAATTTAACTTTTTATTTAAAAAACGCTGAAAATTAAAACAAAAATATTAAATTGAAAACAAATCTTACAAATCTAAATTAAAAAAAATAAAGTTTTTTATTTACTGAAAACATGAATTTTAGGGGTCAAACAAACTAGAAAAATTAAAACTGAATTAACCACGAATTCGTCTTAAAAAGATGATTTAAATCTGAATTAATCAATCACGGTTCTTAATTTAGTTTTAATTTTTCTTGTGTGTTTGACCCCTTAATGAAAGAAAAATGAAATTTATTTTTAATTTGTCTACATATAATTTTATTTAAAATCAAACTTTAATTTTTTTAGATTAAATTTTAAAATAGACTTTAAATTGATATCTCCATTTTATTTTTGAAGAACCATTGTATTCTGAAAAAGACTCCAAAGAGTCTAAAGAAAAATTTTTGTTTAGGCGATTAATTAGATAACATTCTAAACTAAATCACTTAATTCAATCAATGTATTCTCTACAATACATGTGCAACGAATTGTTTTGCAACGAATTGATCGTGCGACGAATTGTACGCGACGAATTGATCGGTCACCATTTTTTTATGTTTGTTTGTTCAAAGTCGAAGAAGATAATGATGAGAATAAATTTAATTTATCTTGAAAAATTTATTCTTTAACTTGAACAGGTTTTCCATCTTTTTTTGAATGACGTCGTTTAGTTTTCAAACCATTTTCTTTTAATTGCTTATTATGATTTTGTTTAACTTTATCGGATGTTAAATGAGGAAGTGGTATTGATTTTGGTAATTTTATTGTTTGTTGATTGGAAATGATGTTATTATTATTTGAAAAATTTTTTGTTGATTGTAGTTGTACGCGAATATTATTTTCATTCTTAGACTTCAGCATTTGACTATAACGCATAATTTCAATTTCATCAACATATTTTTCATTTTTATCTAATGGTCTTTGTGTAATAAATAATTGTTGTTGTTGATTACTATCTGAGCTAAAATAATTCGCCATAACTTTTTCATCTCCAACTATAACATAGATTTCTGATTCATCTTGAGAAACTAATGTAAGTGATAATTGCATACATTTAAGTTCAGCTTTACGAATATCAAATAATGAATGCCATTTATACTCATATGTTGGTAATTTAACTCTAACCGAAAGATCTGGATTAACAAGAAACATGGTATAATCTGTAATACGACACATAGGAACTAAATCACCAATTAAAACGTTTTTTAATAACATGTAACCGTAAGACTCAATTGCTTTTATTGGTATCTTACCTAAATTAACAAAAAAATGATGGTTATTTTTATGTTGGTAACGAATTGATATTATTTCTTTATTACCTCGAAGTAATTTAACAAAAAGAAAAGTATTATTTTGGTGATTTGAGATATAATTAAATAGATTTTGTGTAGAATGAAGACAACGTAATTCTGACGATCCTTCAGAAGCTATTGGATGTATATCACATGGTTTTTGATTGACTTCAAGAAAAAAATGACGTGGATCAGATTCATTTTTTGTTACACAATATAATGAACGTAAAACACGATTTCGAATTAATTTTTCTTCATTATAATTAGTCGCTATAAGTAAGGCAAGAAGTAGACGTGATTTGCTTTTTGGTACCGTTACATAATCTTGTGATGTTCGTTCGCTTTCTGTTGGTGTATACTGAATTTCACCAACGTCACATATTTCAAATTGAATATTTTTTTCGATACGTTTCATTTGTCGAACAATTCGTTGTCCCTCAAAAACAGTTGGATCTTAATAAAATAAATAAGAAAAACAAAATAAATAAGATAATATAACAATACCATTACGATGAAATATAAGATCAAACGCTTCTATCTCTTTTGTACAAATATATGAACGAGGTGTTATACGCTGGTTTTTGATACCTTGTCTATAGATTCTTTCAATATCTTTTGTAGTTAAACGATGTATACGTTCTACTTTTTGTGATGTTACTTTCGATATTACTTTCCATAAACCTAAATGAGGAAAAAAAGCAAATCAATCACTTCCTTGTCTTTCTTATATTATATTTGTCTAATAAAAACCACCTTTATGTTTGCTTGATAAGACAATTTCTTGTTCCATTGGAATAAATCGATCCTTATGTACTTTACATGGTGATGCCATAATAAACTCTCCATTGATTTTCACTCCAACAATAAATGGTTGATCACCACTTTGAACTAGACAAAAAACAAAATGAATAAATAAATCTTTTATCGTTAATTATAAGAATTAGACTTTACCAAGTGTGGGTTTATGTATAGTCGGATCATCTATTAGATTTTGAAATTCAATTGATTTTTCAATCCAATGTATATGTTCCATTTGTATATGTTTATCTTAAAAAGAAAAACAAAATATCTATTTTAATAAAAGAAAACTAAAACTATAAATATCATCTAATTAAGTCATCCATTGTTATAATATATAGGCTACTCGGTATGCATGGTATTTCTTACTTTAACTTTATTTATTTTATCCGCATAAAATAACCATTTGATTATCACTATAATCATCGAACCGTACAATGGGAGAAAACAATCTCTAAACAAAATAATAAATCACGACATAAAAAAAAACTGACATGTGATTAAACATCCATGCGCAGCACTATTATGTATGTCAAATATAGTACATGAAAAAATAAAAAATTACCTGAAACTGATGATAACACAGAAATTCAAAAAGAAAAGGAATATTTCATTGGACATAATGCACAAAAAGAAAGTTCATCATGACAAGCTTGCTTTTGTTTATTAAAAGCTAATATATAATTGCGAACCAAGATTAAGTGACTGTCATTAATCTAAGCGTATGTCAATATATATTAAAAGACAATTATATTGACAATGATGATTAATAGAAGGGATATTCATAATGCATACATCATAAAACACCTTACTAATCGATCAGCGTTCTAGTAAAGGTGCTACAAGTGCAAAAATAAAGATATATATCTATATATACGGTTAAATAGAGTATGACGAGCTTATCAAGAATATTAGTGTCATTTTTTCTTTTGAGATTAGCGTCAAGAAACAGATTCAATTTTTTCTAATGATCTATTTTTCTGACATAGAGGATAATTTGCAATAAATGATAAAATATCAATAGTTTTTCATTGCCTCAAATTTTTAAACTGTTTGTTTCAGATTCAGTGTGAAAAACTGAATCTAGGAATGTTGTTTATAAGTGACTTTTCTAGATACAGTTTGTCATGCTGAACCTGAAACAAACAGTTTTGAAATTTGAACCCATGAAAACCTATTGACATTTTGTCATTTATCAAAAATTGTCCTCGGTGTCAGAAAAGATAGGTCATCAGCAAAAACTGAAGTTTTCCTCCTAAAAACTATGCCTTGATTTTGTATTTCCGACACCCTACATATATAATAAAACTTCATAGATGAATACTTGTTAAAAGTTCTGACAGCGTACATTTGCGAAGAATTTTACTATACAGATTTAATGTTTTGAAACATTCTTTCTTCGCTGGTATGAGAAATGTTTAACAGAAATAATCAATCACGATAATCTAAATAAATGCTGTATGTTTTACTTTCAAATTAAATGATGCAAATCGTCTAGAATTAACTGAATGAAATAGAAATTGTGAATACACGAAAATTTAAATTGAAGCTTCGATGGACAAAGTTTATAGTTTATCCAGCCAATTCAACTTATAACTTATTATGAGAATATTATCTAAATTACGATAACAAAATATTAGTTTAATTATTGATGATATTCAATCAAATTCAATTCGAATTATTCATCAAATAAGGTTCAGTATAGAATAAAAATCATTTGATTCTATAGAACTTAGTAAATTTTGAAATTTCGACCTAATTGATAATATCTTCTGGTGTCGACTAAAAAGACATAACAATAAAGTCTACACTAATCATGTATTGTTCGTCAGTCTTTACCATCAATCTTATCAACAGATGCATCGATTTGATGACATAGATAGAATAGATCAATGAGTTTTCACAAGAGTTATTTTGAAAATATAATAAGACAATAAGCATTGTTCTTTTAATACATATTTTCTTCCGTATAGAAATGTCTAGTAATAATTCACTATGAGCTTTAACAGATGGCAAATTCAACAATACAATTTATATACACAAGATGCTCCAAAAGTCACGTACTAAAAAAGAGTTGCAATAATATTCAAAGCTGTTATTCTTGACTGCAATACAAAAATCAACCTTTTTTTTATCTGATCCACATAAATATTTATGAAAAAGAGTCGCAGATGACTAAAGACTTTTGAGTTTCTATTTTGCTCATTAGTAAACGACTACTTGACTCGAACAAGTTCTGAAGAATTCGTGTTGTTGTTACGTATTAGCGAAGTTATTGAATTTCTATTGAATTTACTTCCATAGAATTTAAGGAGCCACAGGACGAACTTTTTCTGAGTTTCAATGAAAAAGTATTCGAAAAAAAACTATTGGAATCAACAAACTCGTAGTAGAAGTCCAAGTCTGCTGCTTTCTTCAAGAAGCCCTTATATTTTCCATAAAATTTAATTATCAGATTCTGGCCTAAACCTTAACTCGTAAAAAGTTTTTACTTAAATTAGTATGTGTAGAAAATTTCAAGATCTTTGACTACTGTTTTTTTCTGCATGCAGCATTACTCAAAAATAAAAAGATACGAAATTTTTTTGATTTCGTCTTTTTACGTGATCAGTTAGGTCTCATATTCATACAATATATACTAATTAGTTGATATAACATAGTAGAAGATGTAACATGTGATCAATCTTTGGATACAATAATTCGTTCAAAAATGTACTAATCTACCTTACTGTTCGTTCGTTTATATCGATCTGTGACATGAGTCACATTTAATTAATTTTGATCTCTTTTAATCTAAATCAGTATAAAATATAATGAAATCGGGTTCATCTCAGAGATCGGGATATCTAGATAAAACTATGAAACTCGAAAAACATCAAAAACAATCAAAGACAAGCATCAAGTTTTATTTGTACACATTTGAATAAATTATTCTACTCAAATGCAAAGCATATGCTGTATTTTTTACTACGTAATATCATCTAGTATATGTTGTATAAATATGAGGCCTAAGTGACCATGTACGAAGAAGAAATCGAAAAAATTCTGTGTTTCTACACTTTTGGACCAGTCTGTGTATAAGGTTTCACAATTTTCTTGGAAATGAATGATCATAAATATTAATTGTAAACTTACTTCACGAGAATAAAAACTGAAATCTTTCCTTCATCATCAAACAAAAGAATTACTATTTTAGTTAAAGTCAAATAGAAGTATTCAAATTTTTTTAGTAGGCAACTTTTGAAACATTCTATCTATTACATATTTTTCACTTTGATCTTGTTTATTATTGTTAACTTTAACAAGTTTTCTATTAAATATAAATTATAAATCGTACTCAATGTTAAACGAATAGTTACAATTTTCAATAAAGATCTCGATAAACAAACAATCAAAAAGAATCTGTCGATTATCATTTCTATCTTTAATAGTTTTCTAAAACATTTATTGTTCAATTTATTTTCATTATGAGTATAAACAGTTATGCTCAATTATTCTAACATATATTTGATCGAATTTAAATTACAATTATAATGATTTTGACGATATGACGTTATAAATTGCACTGATATGGTAGTTTTTAACAGTAGCATGTCTATATACAATGAACAACATTGTCATGTATATATAAAACGCGTGAAAGTAATGCAAGATGAGAAAAGTAGTCATTATTATTGTTGATATAAAATTATAACACTTTCATTTTATATGTCGATCTGTCTGCCGTCAATAACTTGAGAAAGAAAGAAAAGAATAAGATCGTATCAATGTACATTAGTTGTTGTTAATTGCTCGGTCAATTGAGAAGGAAAATAACGTCTGTGTCTACTCAATGGCATATGTGACACATCTGTTCTTTTACTTTAGATTGTTCAAATTGTATATAGGATCATGAGACATTGATGCAATCTTAAATTATGCATGAATATAGAATTAACAAGATCATAGATGCATAATAACAATAGATATTTTGGCAATTAATAGTAAAAAATGCTGATCATTTTTTATTTGTTATAATATAAAGATAAAAGACTTGTTTTTCACTTATTCATAGATTCATACTGATTAGTGATACTCTCTATGTTTATGAAGAGTGTTATAGAGCTTGACTGAGACAGATAATATTCAGAGGATGTAAAGAGTTTTTTGTTAAGGGAACACAGGGCAAATTTTCGGCTTCGCTGGGAGAAAAACAAAAAGTTTTCTTGATTAGAAGATGACACAGGCTTCCAGGTCGGAACATCCATGATAAGAAAAATGCAATTTATCAAACAAAAAGATCGATGAATATATAATAAAAAAACTATCATTGACATCAACGTCAATTATTAGTATGAAATCATTTGAATGTTATATGCCATATTTTATTTTCCTTGTACTTATTGTTAATTATTAAAAAGTTTCAATCTTTGATTAGCTTGAAAAAAATTTTATAAAAAATTCCTTTTCAATAGACAATTCAAAATTAAAAGAATATTAAAAACATATTCTGGATATTATTAATTGACACTGATGAATATTATCATTCTCATCAAGTGACTAGACATAAATTGATAAACATATCTGAAGTCTGATATTATTTAACCATTTAAATTTGATACAAGTTAATTAAGGTAAGCTAGTAATGATAAACATAGACTTGGATATTTTTATTGACTCATAGAATTTATTTTAGTGATTAGTTTTTCTTTTAATTAAATTCTCAATAAACAGTTCGATATCTTTTTCTGTTCAAGGACGCATTATTTTACTTTATACTTGTGTAGAACTGAAACTGACAAGTGCAAATAAAGAAAGTGCCATTCATCTATTGATGATAAAAATGAAAAACATGTTTTTTATATGACATCTGCTGCCAGAGTAAGACGATTATTAATGTAAGAATGTACTCTGTCACCCATCATTTGAATAATAGTAATCGAATAAACGACAATTATTATGTGCAAGACAATCAAAGAATAAAAATCTTAACCACATCCGTTGTCTGAATGATTAATCATGATAGACAAATTGGACAAAAAGGTCTTTCTTTTTATTTTTAAAACAACTACTACTAATGTATAGAAGTATTCATCTTGATATTTTTCTTTCATTTCGCATCATTCATTTGTTCAAAATGTATTCTTATCGTTTGATGATTAAGCAGACACAGACATAAACTAACGAGATCTATTGCATTAGACTATCTCATCATTATTATCGTCATCGCGTAATCAAGACACTTGGGTGTCTTAT